GCCTATTAGCTACCCTAAACTATCCCAGATAGACAGTTAACCAAACTACTCTCAATAACCTTCAAAATAAATTATTCTGGTAAAGTTCTCTTGACAGAAAATACTTTTGTATAAAAACCAGAAATGTAATAGAAAATAAATTTACAGCAAGAGCACTCTACAAGTAGACTCACCTGGTAAACTTTTGAACCAGCTACTAAAGCTGACTCAACCCTTCCCTTCATTCGGCTTATTAGGATGACCAGCAGATGAGGAGCATGAATAAGTATATTGGGGTTCCCTCCTGACACCTATCGGATACTCTCCACTCCTAATAATCTCAAGGAAATAGCCAGGAGTAAAAGGAGCCACTGTTTCCAAAGCGGTTGGAGCCCCCTAATAAGAGAGATGCTTACAAAGGAGAGAGACTTGGGGAAGGGAAGGAGAAAGAAGGAGAAGGAACAGAGGGAAAGGGAGAGAGGACAAGGAGGGACAGCAGGAGGAGGAGGAGAGAAAGGAGAAGATGAGGGGAGAGGTTGAGAGAAGAAAGCAAGCAAGCAATTTAAGCAAAATGAGAAGAATCTAACAGTATTACCTGGCAGGGAACTGTAACTTCTTCCAAGAGACACAAGTGGCTTTATTCTTTTTAAACTTGCTCTTATTCTAGAGCAACACATATTCTAGTGAGGAGAAAAAGAAACGACATTACCTTTGTCAGCGTGATTCATTACAGTGGTTTTAACATTATAACTATGCTTTGTCAGAGGACAAAATACTTTGAATCTCCTTAAAGCAGTCCCAATTTATTAACTTCAATTCTTTTAAAAAGTGACAACCCAAATTATACGACAGGAAAGACAAAGAATAAAATCAATACTAGTTTGCTATTGTAAACTGACCTTAGACGCCAGTTCTCCTAGACATGCAGCATTATCATCACAGAGAACGTGATAGAAAGAACTCTCAGGACCCGCTCCAAACAAGGGAACAGAAGCTGTGGAGATGGGGCAGACCAACCCGTCTGTAACAAGCTCTCCAGGGGATTCTGATAGCTAGTTTGAGAACCAAGATCCTGAAGTTTCCAGAGACTTATTAATGTTAAAAAGGTCTCTCACCCTGGCTACTCCTTAGTTCTTCTCTACAACTGCTAAGAGCTGGTGGGGGTCATAAACTAATAAAACTATTGGCTGTTTTCAGGATTTGTAAGAATGCCTACACATTAGAATTACCTGGAAAGCTTTAAACAACAACAACAACAACACAATTGGGCACTAGCTTGTTTGGTTCAGTGGATAGAGCGTCCACCTGTGGTTCAATTCCGGTCAAGGGTACATGCCCAGGTTGTAGGCTCCATCCCGAGTGGGGGGTGTGCAGGATTCTCCCTCATCATTGATGTTTCTATCTCTCTCTCCCTCTCCCTTCCTCTATGAAATAAATTAAAAAAAAAAATTATAATGGAGGTTGGGGAAGAAGGGGCTGGCCTTTTAAAAAGTTGCCCAGGTATCTTCGAATGGTCCTATGTAGATACTGAATATTCTCCATCCCAGTTTGTACTTAGACCACTAGATAGACATTTAATAGCTGACAATATAAATGGAATTGTTACAGTTAGAGTATGTAATGATTTGGGGCTGCCACAAACTGCTTTTTATATCATGGAATATAAAAGCTTGTGCCTTCTATATTATTTCTTCATTAGTTACCAAGTTTCTAGCAATAAAGCATTATTATCCTAAGAAAATATTTTAAAAGAAGAAACTCAAAGCTATTAAAATTTTCACCAAGGTGATGATCAAGGTAAGACAGGGTGTGTAGTCTGAAAGCATCAGCAATGAAAACACTGAATAAAAACAGTAATTGTTTGTGTCACTAATGACCTCAAAATGGAATACAGAAATAGATATTCTTCAAAATGATGACTTTAAAGCAGTAAAATGAATTTATAAACTACTGATAAGGCATGTTTCTTCTTGGTAACAGGTTCTCCCATATCTGTAAAAAGATATATATATATATATATATATATATATATATATATATATATATATATATATATATATATATATATATCTATCTATCTATCTTTTGGAAATAAAGTAAATGAAGTTGTTTCAGTATATATAATTTTACCAGAAAAACTTACACAAATGTGCAAGCTGGATATGTTCTTATGATTCACTGCAAATATCCTCAAGTTGGACAACATCTTGGCCCTCTAAACTGTTATCCTCTGAAAAAGAAATATATAAGATTATAAAACTAAGTTTACATATTACATGTCAGTAATACATATGTAAGTAAGGCATATGTAGATATGTGGTAAAAATGTGTTACTTTTAAAAAGTAGGAACAATATTTTTAGCTATCAAAAACAGTGCATTTTTCAGAAAATGGAAATTCTGACAAAACAAGGAATACAGTCCTAAGCTTAAAATGTTCCTTGTTCTTTTCAACATGCTTATAATTCTTCAAAAAATATATATGTAACAGAAAAAGATTTATTGAAATTACAAAAAATATATCATACCAATCAAAAATTTTATGAAAAATATATAAAATTAAGTATAGAAAGGTTAAGCATCTACCTACATGTTGGTAATTTCTCATTGGTAATACAACTTTTTAATTTATCCATATATTCTGATTTTTCTACCATAAATATGTAAAAAATATACAAAAGCAAGTCCTCTTCTATAATTATAGAAACTAAGCATCTTTAGTTTTAAAACATTTACTAAATATTCACTATGTTTTGAGTACACTATCAAAGCTATGAGAAATGCATGGAAACATTTGATTGGATGGAGACAAAAACAGATAGGGTTAAACCAGTGCCCAATGCTATGTAAGAAGTCATGTCAAATGACTATTATTCCTGGTAAATTTGCTTTTTCTCTGTATCTTAAGACAGAAATATTCACTATCCATATTCAGGAAGTCACCAAGTCCTTTTGATTTTATTTCCTAAATATATCTTGAATCCATTCCCTCTTCTTCATTTCTAACACCAAAGTGCAGGATGTTTGCAAAATCATGCATGTTAGATCTCTTCTAAAAAAGAACAATGGATTCTAACAGAACAGAAAAAGTTCACTAATATGATTTGATTTCACATTGCAACTAACCTTTAAGAAACTATCACTTGTCCAATCCTATTATAGCATCCACAATTTTTTGAAAAGATAATTAAAATTATCTTTTCTTTCCCAATCATATATACATGTATGGATAAGGCTGAATCTTCTTACATTTCAACCAAAAAAATTTTTTTAAAGATATATAGTAACATAAATACAGAAGCAGGAATAAGATGCCAGCTGTTTTCTACTAAATCAGACATTAAAGAGACTTACAAAATTGTAAACCAATGTAAAACATTCTTCAAACTATTTTTGTTTTGAAAAATGGGCATTTTTTCATAAAACATTACTTACATTAACATTTAATGGGCGTATAACTTTTTAAAGAATGACTAAAATATTTTAACGTTTTGCTTTAATTTCTAATATTTGAATATCAATTATAACCCATACAAACAAACCACTCTGGAATTCTGAATCATTTTTAAGAGGGTGAAGGGTTCCTATAGACCAAAATTTTTGAGACAGTTATTCCAACATCAAGTTTCCCAAAGAGAATGCCCGTCATTATTTTAGGTTATAGACAATATATATATATATATATATATATATGCTTACTAAATAAGTATTAGAAAAAAGTCAACAAATCCTGTGATTTTATAGTCAGTGTTGTTTAAAATGATGTGAAATTTAATTTACATAAAACAATTAACTTACGGGGAAATGTTAAGTAAATAATATAATACAGTAAAATATTACGTAAATAGCACAGGTGACATTCATCTAGGATCAGTCTTACAAGGTAGTGCTCAAATCACTAAAGTGGGAAATGCTGTTTTAATCCATTAACACATACCTCCAAATAAACAACAGCTTGTCACTTCCTTACTTAAGGTTTTTAACATGATAAGTCTGTCCCCAACTCCCTTCACAGTCTTGTACTCTCCCATTCCCTACTCTCCACTGGGGAGCTTCAGCCAAAATCCCCCCGACACACCATGCCTGACACCGTCACACCTGCGCGTGCTGCCGCAGCCGGAAAGCATCCTGGAACTCCCAGGGTCCTTCCTTCCCTGGCAAATTCCTTCTCCAACTTGGAAGCCTTTCCCAGATTCCTAGGAAGTTTTTCATACTACCGTCTTGGTGCTTTTGTAACACTCGGAATTCATATTTATTCACGACAAATATGCTATTTACAAGTTCTCTCCACTCCTGTGAGCTCCCCAAAAGGAGAGATTTTCTACCAGCAGTGCCTTGCACAGATGCCTCATTTTTTAAGTGATTTTCTTCCTCCCCGTGGGTAGAAGAATGGTATCTTACCAGTGTGGACAATGGAGTTATTCATTCGACATCACTGAGGCATTCATTCATCCTCAGATCTTGGAGAATACGTAAGGGCTCGCTAAGGGTTGTCTTAACCCCTGATAGCATCATTAGGGCTGCTGCATCCCTGAAGGTCAGCGGTGCCCGCGGCGGGCAAGGTCTTAGGCACGCGGATCGGTACCCACCTGGCATTCAGGCGCATCCCGGAGGCCAGCTGTTTCCCTCCAGGCTGGTGTGAGCGGGGGTCCGGGCCGCGCCAAAGCCTGCACAGACCGCAAGTCGCAACGTCCGCCTCCCTCGGGGAACGCCTTGGCACCTCCAAAACCGAACCTGCAGCCTCTCGCTTCTGCCCGCATCGGCCCCGACCGCGGCAGCACACCACTTCCGGTGGTGTAACACTCAAACGCCTCCGACCAACAACTTCCGCTCTTCTCGCGAGAAGCGGAGAACAGAAGCTCGGAACCAATGCGTCGAGCTTTCGCCGGAGTCGGACGTTTTAGAAGTGGCCCTTTCCTGTCGCGAGTTGCGAAGAGTCGGTCCGCGAGGCTTTTGAGAGCCGAGGATTGAGAGCTTCTTCGCGCCCGGGGGACTGCGCCCGGCGGCCCGGCGGCCGTCACCATGGTGAGGAGGCGGGCTCGGGAGCTCGCGACGTGGGGCGTCCGAGTTGGCGGGGTCTAGGGTCCCGGGGGCGCTGGGGCTGGGGGTGAGAGGTGGTGGGCGGAAGTGAGATTCAGCTGAAGGGACTAAGGGTAGATAGACTTCGAGGGGTCGGCCCCGTGGAATGAAAAGAAACTTTAACACCGGGGACACAGAATGGGGTATTTGCCAGACAGAGCACAAGCTTGAGAGCAAGACACGCTTCGCTATGTTAAATCCCTGGTTTCACCACATGTTGTGGTCATCGTGTGCCAGAACCTGGCGATAACCCTATGGTGTAGGCATTCATCCCGCCGCCAGCTCATTGTACTGCGGAGGAAACGGAGGGCACGCCTTGGCCCTGGCCAGGCATCTGAGGACTGGCGCGGTCCGGCTTACAGCCAAACCTGACTGCCAGACCCTGCACAATTGTAATCTGTTTCTGTGCAACATGGCATTGCACGTACCTTGCACAAAGTTTACTAATAGCAGTTGAAAACACCACACTGATGCATAGTACCTTGTTTCTTAGCATTATTCTCCGTGGAGTTGGCTTTGTATCATTTTATTTTTGCACTGTTAAAATACAAATGGACTGGGGCTGCCTATTTAAACAAAATTGGCATATAAAATAGGCAAAGGGCATCTCAGACATTGCAGGTGAAATGCAAAATAGTACGGCCACTTCAAAACATTTGACATATGTCCAAACAAAGGAAAAACTAGGAGGAAACATCGATCACTGGTCCATGGATAAACCAATGGTGGTCTGTCCATACAATGGATACTATTTGGCAGCAAAGAAAAGGAAGTGCTAATGCAACAATGTGGAGGATCTCAAAAGCCTTAAGCTAAGTGAAAGAAGCTAGATGCAAAAGCTAAATATTGTAGATTCCATTTGTATCTCATTCTGGGAAAAAGCAAAAGAAACCAGATTGGAGGCAGTAAAAGAGGAAGGACCTCCAAGTGTCACAAGGCAACTTTCTGGGGGTTGGAAATATTTTCTATCTTGATTTGGGTGCTTAAACAAGTGTATAGTTTATCTAAACTGACAACTATGTGAGCTCCTGAATCAGATCATCCCTTTTGTATAATTAAATGGATTTTGGACAGTTCCTTTCAGTGAGCAGTAGCTTTCACTGAGATTATTAAATGTATATCCTGATGCCTCATCTGGGATCAAAATTTATTTAACGTACATCATGTCAATAGACTTAATACTGCAAGTGTCATTTAAGGAAGAGAACGTTTGGATGAAATAGAATCCTCTATATTCCATATGTTGCTCAAAAAAATTAAAGTTAACATTTTTTTGTATCATTATAGCCACAAAACGAGTATATTGAGTTACACCGGAAGCGCTATGGATACCGTTTGGATTACCATGAGAAAAAGAGAAAGAAGGAAGGTCGAGAGGCTCATGAACGTTCAAAGAAGGCAAAAAAGATGATTGGGCTGAAGGCTAAGCTCTACCATAAGCAGCGCCATGCTGAGAAAATACAAATGAAAAAGACGTGAGTGATTGTTCGTTGTAGCAAGTTAACACCTTTTGAGTAATAGTTATTAAAAATGATAATTTTGGATCTTTTCCCATTTTGATAGTATTAAGATGCATGAAAAACGAAACACCAAACAAAAGAATGATGAAAAGACTCCACAAGGAGCAGTACCTGCATATCTGCTGGACAGAGAGGGACAGTCCCGAGCTAAAGTACTTTCCAATATGATTAAACAAAAACGAAAAGAGAAAGCGGTAAGCAATAAAAATGCCTTCTTTTTTGTTCAGGAGAGTTACTTGAAATCAAATTTGAGGGACTTGGTTTGTTTTTTTCAGTTCTATTGGAAACATGAAGTCCAACTGTTCTCACTTAGCTGTTGAAGTCTTTATAAATTTCACTCTATGTAAAATGTTTAAGTAATATAATTGCTTTCTCATCAGCCAGCAAGCACATTTTAGTATTAGTTTTCTTGAAAATTTATTAGAAAATAACATGTCTTTAGTTTTTAAAAAATTACTTAAAAACAAGAGTAAGCAGTGAATCTCAAATTTAGTATTTTAACAGCCTCCTATACTTGATAACAGCTCCTAATACTGTGCTATTGTAAAGGATACAACCTCCGCTTGTTTATGCTGCCCTGCAGTGTTGTCAAATTGGTTTAAAAGTTAGTGGAGCCCTAGCTGGTTTGGCTCAGTGGATAGAGCATGGTCCTGGGTTCGATTCCAGTCAGGGGCACATCCCAGGTTGCGGGCTCATCCCCAGTGAGGGGCGTACAGGAGACAGCTGATTAGTGATTCTCTCTCATCATTGATGTTTCTGTCTCCCTCTCCCTCTCTGAAATAAATATATATATATATATATATATATATATATATATATATATATATATATATATATATATATATATATATATATTTTTTTTTTTTTTTTTTTTTTTTTTTTTTTTTAATGGTTGGATAGTGGAAACATCCTCAAGTGAATGAACACAAATAAAAATTCAGCAGTTAAAAATTTTTTTCTGGTTTGTGCTTAGTGTTAAATTCTGCTAAAAACAGAGGAAAAGGCATGTATATACTATTTTACACACCTGGTGATAGATTGATAGGAATCCATGAAGCAGTAGGACTTGTTGTAACTGTATTTAAAGAACTTAACAGCCTCCAAATTTCATTTTTAAGGTGTTACTGCTGGTTTTTTTGTTATGTAATTATGCAAAATTAGAATGGTAGAACTTTAACACCAAAAGAAACTTTAGAAGTTATCTAGATAATCCCTCTTTATTTTACAGATGGAAGAGATTGGAGTCTAGGAATTTGTAAATCATCTGCGTGATCACGTGCCTATGAATTGGTAGAGTAGCCTCTAGGACCTTTATCTTAGTAATAAGTCCAGAATTCTTTCTACTGTCTTGCACTGCTTTAGTTTTTTTCATAGAATTTAATGTGCATTCTAGAGAAGTACAAATATCTGGAGATGATTTTGTCTAGTAATGCATTCTAAAAATCCATTTGAGGTAGAAATACAAAGATGTTAAAAGACAGTCTTCCAGTTTTACACTTTTAGTAATAAGCACATACACTACCTAGAGAAGTCAGTGCCTTAGTACAGGTGGTATTTTTCATGCATAACAAAGCTTTAAGATTTTTAGCTTAAGCAAACCATTATATTTAATAATTAGAAATTCAGTGCATGAAATTCATGCACTGGGGGAGGTTCCCTCAGCCCAGCCTGCACCTTCTCCAATCTGAGACCCCTTGGGGGATGTCCGGCAGTGGGACATTCCTCTCACAATCCAGGGTTACTGGCTCCTAACCACTCACCTGCCTGATTACCCTTAACCACTTCTGCCTGCCAGCCTGATCACCCCCTAACCACTCCCCTGCCAGCCCAATTGACACCTATCTGCTCCCCTGCCAGCCTGATTGTCCCCAACTGCCCTCCCCTGCAGGCCATCTTGTGACAATTTGGGGGCATCTATTTTGTGATGATGTGGGATGGCCATCTTGTGATGCGAGGACCTGAGATTCAATTTGCATATTACGTCTTTATTATATAGAGGCCTGTGATGTACCTATTGTATAGAAAAACCCATGATATATAAACTAGTTTCAATTATTCGGGGGTTTGTGAGGAAACAGTGCAGACCTCTAGAAAACATTGGAGCCTGATCTTGTTGGTTAAGAAAAAAAGTGAATTACTGTTTTCTACAACTAAAACATACATGACTTCTTATTCCCATTGTCTTTTACTAACAATGTAAGTTTTAACTGGTCTATTTTTAGGGAAAATGGGAAGTCCCTCTGCCCAAAGTTCGTGCCCAGGGAGAAACAGAGGTATTAAAAGTTATTCGAACAGGAAAGAGAAAGAAAAAAGCATGGAAGAGGATGGTTACGAAAGTCTGCTTTGTTGGAGATGGCTTTACTCGAAAACCACCTAAATATGAAAGATTCATTAGGCCAATGGTAAGTCCTTTGCAAGAGTGCAGTGGCTTAAATATGAGTTCCTGTATTAAACTAGGGTAAGTACATTACAGTTTCCTGAAATTTCTAAATTGGTACAAAATACAGGTTGAAAGACATTTTAAGATTGTTTTGTTATTTTAAGTTAGTGATAAAGGATTGCTTAAGACTTTTCCACTATCATCAAAATCTTGTTTTCAGTTTCATAAGAAATTTGAGATGAAAAAGAATTTTCATTACATTGTCAGTGAATCTTCACTTTTAAAAATGCCTTATTAGGATCTTCATTTTCCACATGAAGTAATTTTACTCATTCAGTAAGTGATCTACTATATGCCGGATTCTTATTTGAGAGCAGTTAAAAAACTGAGTAGGGCTGTTTTCAAGAGTCAATTCTGGTTTACTAAGGGGAGTAGCTTAATGCTTTGAAAACACTCAGTATGCAAACATTGCATAAAGTAAGTTTAATGTAAAAGTGTGGGACTTCACTTTCTGTTGACAGCAGTAATGGTCAAAACCTGTCGGCCTATTCCTCCCTCCCCCTGCCACAACCAAATATAATTGAAAATATATTTTTACAAAAGCTTTTAAACAGACTAAATTATTCTCCCAACTAGGTATCCAGCCTGCTTAGAGAAACAAAGAATCAGAGGAAAATTGGCAGTATTACTCTAGTTCTCAACCTGAGTAATTTTCAATGGATTAAAATGTCAAACAAGCCTGTTTCTATAAATAAAGTTCTATTGGAACAGTCATGCCTATTCATATTGTCCATGGCTATTTTTTTTTCCTGCAGAATTTGAGTAGTTTCAACAGAGACCATATGGGCTGCAAAGCCTAAAATACTCATTTAGGTCATTTATGGAAAACATCCTTACATCATGGACTCCCCTTATTTGATTTTATATTCATAATCTCCTAAATACATTTTGGTGATCTTATCAGTTCTACAGGGAGAGAACATGCCAGTCAGATTGTTCTAGACTTTCAGTAGCTTGGCAGATAATATATTTTATTGTGAGTTATTCAAATGGCATTCTGAATGGTTTCTTGACAGCTTGATTAATTAATGAGTCCTTTACTAAGAACTTATTTAGCCGAAACCGGTTTGGCTCAGCGGTAGAGTGTCGGTCTGCGGACTGAAAGGTCCCAGGTTCGATTCCGGTCAAGGGCATGTACATTGGCTGCGGGCATATCCCCGGTGTGGGGTGTGCAAGAGGCGGCTGGTCGATGTTTCTCTCATCGACGTTTCTAACTCTCTCCATCTCCCTTCCTCTCTGTAAAAAATCAATAAAATATATATTTTTTAAAAAACTTATTTATTATCATTTGCTGCCTACCTCTATTTAGATAATTATTGCACTCAAGAGACTGCAGAGTATTGTGGCTTTTTAACACGCAACATTCTTAAAGACCACATCGAGGTGACTGGGTGACTGGGGTGTCTTCCAGTCCTTGACCAGTGTTACCATCAGTGCAAAGAGAGCTAACAGCTTCCATCTTGGAAGTTAGCTGAGGTACTTCAAGACTTGGAATCAGAATGCTTAAATTTGATTCCTTCCATTCATTCACTGTTTAACCTGTGAACAAGTCATTTAGCCTGCTAATCTTCGTTTTAAAAAAGTAGGGGTAATTGTATTTATCCGGTAACAGAGATTTTTAGTCTAGAATTGTATTTTTATTTGATGCATTAGATTTTACTTTCAACTCTTGTTTTTGAGACTTGGAAAAGATAAGCAAAAAAAGATCACTACTCATTGTTAACATTTTGGACTCAAACATTCTTGTCTTTATCTTACTAGGGCTTACGTTTCAAGAAGGCCCATGTAACACACCCCGAACTGAAAGCGACCTTTTGCCTGCCAATACTTGGTGTGAAGAAGAATCCCTCCTCCCCACTTTATACAACCTTGGGTGTTATTACCAAAGGTACTGTCATCGAGGTGAACGTGAGTGAGTTGGGCCTTGTGACACAAGGAGGCAAGGTTATTTGGGGTAAGTAAATTTGTTAGTATGGGGATGCTGCTCTTGGAATCCTAAAAACATTTTCAAATTGGCAAAGTACACAGCAAATTGTAATGTGGAAGAGATAGATAAGTTCACACTTGATGTAAATCAGACTTAAATCTTTAGGAAGAATACTTTTTGTAGAAAAGACAGTTATGAATATAATTTAACTTACTAGTTTTAGTTATATGAGATGTACTACATTACTAGGCTTTCATGCTGTATTTAAAAAGAAATTACCAGGGAAGATATGATAACTAAAAAATATTGGAAGAAATACAATAAATTAACCATGAGTGGGAGAAAGCATATCAAACAGCCACACTCTTTCAGTGGTAATGAAAAACTAAAATGTCATGTAATTATAAATTCCTTTTCCTCATTTTCTTACTTTTCTGCTTTTAGTGCCCAGATAGTCCTAAACTTGTTCTTTGAAAGGGAAGAATCCTATGTAATAAAAGGCTAATATGCCTTCTACCAGGAGTTTGACCAGGGGGGCGGGGCCAGCTGGCTGACCAAACACCCACAGCCCCTCCTTCTGGCCTGTACTCCCCACCCCATCCCAATTGGGGGCAAGTTGGCCAGACCCCACCCATGCACAAATTCATACACTGGGCCTCTAGTATCTATAACTCAAGGTGTTGTTTGTTTGTTTTTTAAGTTTTTATTAGCTAATCTCTCTCTTTTTCTTTTGTTTCCTTAGGAAAATATGCCCAGGTTACCAACAATCCTGAAAATGATGGGTGCATAAATGCAGTCTTACTGGTTTGACAGCAGTTTCATATAAGTAACTTTGTAATTGTTGAAGACTATACAACAATTAGAAAAACTCCTTTACTATGTTTCTGAGTGCTATCAAACAGCTTACATGTCTGCAGTCCTCAAGAGAATTATTTATTCTATTGTAAAGAATATTAAAATGGCCCAGTTTTATAAATTGGTCTTTATTTTGGGGTCTGTTTATCATGAAATTGAATGATTAAAAAAAGCAATTATAACAGTTTCCTACTTCATCAATATCTGTATTAATAAGTGGGTATTCAGCAATGCAGATCTTTTATCCTAAGAGTTAATGCACACTTAATATGGGTTCTAGGCTATAAAACTATCATATCTAAAACCTCACTTCATTTAGTCATCATTAGTTCTAAAAAATGTAGCATTAACACACCTAGTAATGTTTAAGTTTATAAAGTATTCATATTAAAGGCATACGAGAAAAGGTACACTACAGTAAGTTGAATTCAGAAGGAATTTAGATAAATCTTTTCTCCCATAATTAATCCTTAATTTCTTCAGATAATAAATCAGTAGTTAGTATTTTAAACGTTTTTTCTTCTCATCATATATAGTAACTCCTACTTGGAACTGTGCTTTCTATCTGCAACATGAAAAACACCAAAATGTTTATACTTTTAGCATTTTAGAATCTGAAAATTCTGTTTTAATAATTCCAGAGGAAAAAATGGTTTTAAAAAGAAAAAGAGTGCACTGATAACCTTAAAAGACAAATATATTTATAATTACATAATATTAAAAAAATCATGTTTTAGGGTAACTGTCAAAGCACCTTTTGATATAAATTATGTTTGTGGCTTTGAGTTTTAGGGTGTCTACATATTAATCTATAATCGTTTTAAATTATTTATTTTTAAAAATCTGTTTTGAAGGTACAACCCATATGAACAAATCCAGTTTCTAAACACATCATCAGTGAAATTAGGGAAAAGGGAAAGAATTTCAAAACACAGACCAAGAACAATCACAAAATATATGTTTAATTACTACTTTTAAACTAAAAACAAAACAAAACAAAAAACAACTACCAAGAAAATTTCAGTAAGACTTGCTATTCTAAATACTGCAATATCTTTTCTAAGTACTAAAAACAATAGGTTTGGAACACAGACAGGAAAAGAAAGGCTGGCTAGTCCTTGGGAATGACTATCCAGGATAATACAATTACTTCACAATGACAGAAACTTAACCTTTCTTACAATTAGTTTTATCATGATTTTGCCACAAATAGAAATGAATGACTTAGGTTTTGGAAGATGAAAGAAAACACTGACTAAAGGTAATAAGCACATGATGCTACAGAACTGAGATTTTTTTTTAAATGAGCAAATTATACAAAGAAAGCATGATATTAAAGAAACAACTAATCACACCCATGAAATATCAGGCAACACCTTAAACAATATTAATGTTAATGGACATACCAGGCAAAAATAAATTTGTAAAATACTGTTACACAGATGAGTAATGTTAGTATAAATTCTTTATTTACACTTTTAAGAATCTGTTTGCTGGTATGACCAAATTTAGAAGGTAATCCCTAAGGGTAAAGCAGAACATAAGAGCAGATAACAGATACTAGGTAAACTCAATTTGATGCAATCATAACCCACCAAGATAATCTTCTAAAGTCACTGAAACCATGTTAGGAGTACAGTTTTCTGGTGGTCAGCAAAAAGTGAACCATTAATCACTAGTTGTTATCCTTCCTGTGATAATTCTCTGTACTTAATGGAAAACACCATGAATATAGACAATTTAAGCTGATATTCTGTCATGCTATTTGATTTTGTGAAAAATCATAATAGATCCTCTCACCTTTAAAAGCTGTAGAGGAGATGTATAATAAATGAATTAAGAGGCCAAAATACTGCCCTCATAAACCTTAAATATACTTATTTTTGTGATGTCTAGCAATTGAATAAACTTAAAAGTAGAACTAAAATTTTGTTAACTGCTGTATATTATACAAGGAAATACATACGTATTTACACAAACTAAAGTGAACTTCCTTCTCTAAGAATATGATTTCTAAACAAAACAATCCACAAAGGATTACAGAATGACTGGACACTCAACAATTGGACTAGTTGTTTGAAATCAAATTTCTGTCCTCTAGTTCTGAAAGTTTTATTAATGACTTGCAAAAACAAGTATCTGATTAAGTTTTAATTAGTTTCCTAGTTGACATGTTTTATTACATTCTTTACTGAAAATGAACATGTTAGTAAACGTGTTTTTCATGGGACTCACTTTTTCTCCTATCTGTAAGTGCCAAAATAACATTTTCTGTAAGACGACGTGTAACAAGTTTTCTTATGTGCTGAACAAAAAGTTTTGAAATTGCCTAAAATTCACATCTTGTTTAAGGGTAAACCAAACAAGTTCAATAAGTTTATACTGTTAGTCCCTAGCAATCATACATGAATAACTAACCATTTCTTTTTGTGAACTCAGTAACCATATTCACACATCAAGAGTTGTCAGTGCATTCAACCTTCTTAAATTCTACTTTTTTAAAGAAAGTATTTTAAAGAGAAAATGAATAATCCCAAGTAAAATAAGTGTTGAATTTTTATTATAAGAAATTTAAAGTGGAAAGGTTAAGAATAAGAACTCACTAAATTTTAATCTTTAGTTCCCTATTTGTGGTTTTAACAAATGTTTTTCATAAAACATATAAGACAAACATTTGATAGGGAATTCATACTAATACTTTTTTTCTTTCACTTATTTACTTTTTTTGAGAAAATAGTCAAAAACGCTGTTATTTTCATTTAGTGTGAAATCTGGCTTATCCCAACCAATAATTAAAGAAAATTTGGGGATACAAGTACTCAAAAATTTTACAATGAATAGGAAGGTTTGCCATTTTGCTGCTTAAAGAACTTAGATCTTTCTAAAATACCAAGATCCCCCTGAAAAATGTAACAACATAACTTGACTGTGGACTAAAAAACATTTAACATCAATCTTTAGCATTATTTGTCAAATAATGACAAAAAGCCCTAACTCTTTTTTTCATAAAGAACCAAGGCTGTTTTAAAAACAATCTAAGTGGTCTCAAAGCATTCTTCAACTGAAGTACACATCTGAGTATACATAATTCTTCCAAAGAGCAGTATTGTTTCAAGATTCTATTTGGACCCTAAAAATAACCATTTTGTTCATTTCTAAACAAATTACAAAAATTAACAATTGAGAGTTTTGTTTTTTAAGTTTTCCTGGGCAAAGGCCTTTACTATGGCAACACAATGAAAAGGCTGCTTATAACCTGTCCTCACAAAACAAATCAAGAACGAAAAGCAAGACTGAAGAAGAAAGCCTCCAATCTGATTTAAGCTCTGGTAACTACAGCTCTTTCTAAAATACCAAGGGCAGCATTATTGCTGTCATCCAGATCTAAGATTGTAGGGCGCAGTTGCATACCTACCCAAAAATGATGCCAAGGGCATAAGCTGGCAGGCAGGCAGGCAAATCTTTTGACAGGGTTCACTCCATGAGTTAGGCAAGTAGATGAACGCTGAGAGGAATATAAATAAAATTCTAGAATAAGGGCAGTAGCAGGATGAAGGATAACTTAAGAAGGGAACTCTTCTAATTTATACATGTTAACTAGGTGAACAAAAGTATATTCCCCAACTTTATGAGTATCTACATGCCAGTTAATCCCTAGCACTACTGTTCATATTAGATGTTATAAGGAGTGAGTTGGAAAGTCTGTGCCTACTCAGAAAAGTCAAAAGAAGAAACTGCATTTATACAACAATGAAATAAGAGGCCAAAATACCGTCCTCAAACCTTCCACCATAAATTTCTGGTATTTGTGCTCTCATTCAGTCGAAATGCCATTTTTGTTTAGGCATGCCTACATTTTTTTAAATGGTGATTAGTTTTGATATTTAAGCTAAAACTTCTAGAACACTCCCCAAGTTTACTATTTAAAACTCAGTGTAAAAGATTTCTGTAATCCTCACAATGAAAAGCCTCCTACTTCCCATTTTTTAAATTTATATATCCTGAAATATTTAGGGTCAGATGGCCCCAACTACTAAAGAAAATACAGTATGATCTGGTTTCCCAAAATTGAAACATGGTTAATAAAAATTAAAAAAACTGTATTTACACAAAGTAGCCTAAAAATTAAAACAATGATGAATCCTAAGTCCTAAGGAGGAGGGAAAAATAACATAAATAAGCTCAAAGGGAAGTTCCGGAATTTTTGTCCTGTGCCCCGTGCTATTTATTACCGTATCTTAAAAACAATCACGTTACAAAGAACAGGATTTGTGATCTGCATTTTTTCAGGTCAGCTTGGCTTTCTTCTTAGCGGGTCCTTTATATCCTTTGGCCTTTCTTCTTAAATTCCGCCTGTCTACAACAGGCACTTCCACTTCTATTTCCTCTGAGCTGCTATCCACCGTTTTTTCTATTGACTGTGTAAACTGATCCAGTTGCTCAGAAGATCCTTCTGATTGCTCCTCTGATTGGTTCTTCTGTCCTGCATTCGGTGCAAATGGCATATCTTCAAGTTCAACCTCGATCAAAGAACTCTGAGGAAGACCTGGAGATGTTTCCTGGGGCTCAGACACTCCCTCTTCAACCTGGTCTTCCAATGAGGGAAGAGTATTGGGTGACAAATTTTCAGAGATCGGTTCTTCAGAAAGTTCAGCTATCACAGAGTTTGGAAAACCACTGTCAGATCGTTCTTCATGTGGGATAGTGGCAGCATTGTCAGAACTCACAAAATGTGCCTTCTTTCTTTGAACTTGTGGCAGTTTCTCTTCTGTGTGCCCCTTCCCATCATCAGATGGGCCTTCGTTTAACAACTCTTCTGAGTCAGTTACATGTGAGGTCTAAAAAATAAAACCTGGTGAGCAAACTTTTCCAACCCTTACACAAATTATTCTTAGAAACCAATATATAATGACACTAAACTACATTTTAAAGACTTCAGTATTCATTACTTAACCATGTGTACATATTCTTAGTACAAGTCAATTTCTTCAAAATTGTCTTTGATAATTTGCATACACTAAGTTCTTGCTTTAACAATATGATAAAAAGAATAATTTTAACTCAAAGAAGTACTTAAGATATTTTAAATTTCAGATCAAGATTTTTCAAAACAATAATTCAGCTCAAAAGTTTTTATTTTCTTGGTGTTACTGGAGCCAGAATCAAGAGTCCCTTGGGACATGACACTATGCCACCCCACTAAATTTGACTATGGTTTTGTTTAGATGACAGGTAAGGGCAATGGAAATTTTATTCATTTATTTATCCGAGATGCTAATAAAATAATCCTATACAACAGTTTTTTAGCTTTATATTAAAATATTCAAAATAAAAAATTAAATTTCTTTTAAAATAGTCCAAGTTTTTCCTACTAATCTGTTTCCCTAATTAAACAAATTAAAATGATCATGTAAGCAAATAGGTACTCAAATATTTGACAAAAAAAATTTTTTTAGCCATTTTTCTAAGCTTTTCCCTCTACAAAGTAAAACTCATTTTGTAAGAATGAATCCTATATAATAAAAGACTAACATGCAAATTGACCATACCTCCACTACACCCACCAGCCACGCCCACCAGCCAATCAGAGCAAATATGCAAATAAACCCAACCAAGATGGCTGCAGCCACAGAGAGCAGGAGGGAGGCTTAAGTTTCCCCGGCAATGGAGGAATCCAAGCTTTCTACCTGCTCTTGCTGGCCAAGGCCTCCACTCAAGGGTACAAAGTTTCAATTACAGAAGGTAAATAAATTCCAACAGAAATGGCTGCCACCACAGAGCGAGCAGGTGGCTTCAATTGTAGAAGATACATGAATCCCAGTTGCCAGGGCCTCCACTTGGGTTGCTGGTGGGGCATGGCTGGCCTGCAAACCACAACAGGCCCCTGGCCCAGGCCTCCCATACCCCAAGGGAACCCCCACCCTGATCCAGGACACCCTTCAGGGCAAACCAGCTGGCACCCACCCATGCACCAGGCCTCTATCCTATCTAATAAAAGAGTAATATGCAGCCGAAACCAGTTTGGCTCAGTAGATAGAGCATCAGCCTGTGGACTGAGGGGTCCCAGGTTGATTCCGGTCAAGGGCATGTACCTTGGTTGCGGGCACAACCCCAGTGGGGGGTGTGCAAGAGGCAGCTGATCGATGACTCTCTCTCATCGATGTTTCTAGCTCTCTATCCCTCTCTCTTCCTCTCTGTAAAAAAAAAATCAATAAAATATTAAAAAAAAATTTTTAAGAGTAATATGCAGATTGTCCATCACTTCAACACACAAGATGGCTGCTCCCATGCAGTCAAAGATCCTGCTTCCATGTGGACACACGATGACCACCACAAGATGGCCAGCATGGGAGGGCAGTTGGGAGGGACCAGGCCAGCAGAGGGGGGAAGTTTGGGGTGACCAGGTAAGCAGGGAAGGGCAGATGGGGGGATCAGGCTGGCAGAGAAGGGAAGTTGGGGCAACGGGGCCTGCAGGGAAGGGCAGTTGGGCAGGACGCAGGCCTGCAGAGGAGAGCAGTTTGGGGGGGAGGGACCAGGCCTGCAGGGGAAGGCAGTTGGGGGGACCAGGCCTGCAGGGGAGGGTAGTTAGGGGTGACCAGGCCTGTAGGGGAGGGCAGTTAGGGGGAAACAGGCTGGCAGGGGAACAGTTAGGCATCAATCAGGCTGGCAGGGGAGTGGTTAGGGGGTGATCAGTCTGGCAGGCAGAAGCGATTAGGGGCAATCAGAAAGACAGGCAAGCGAGCAGTTGGGAGCCAGCAGTCCTGGATTATGAGGGCAGTCAGACATCCCCCAAGGGGTCCCAGATTGGAGAGGGTGCAGGCTGGGCTGAGGGACAACCCCCCTTCATGCATGAATTTCATACACCGGGCCTCTAGTTAGGTTATAAAGATTTTAATTTATGAAATATTACTGATTGCATCTCTGTAAAATACTAAATCTAATATAAAATTTAATTTTCCTAAAGGACTGTACATGTTAAAATATACATACTACACTGCCCCTGCCATGTCACAACGCTGGACTATGTTAACTATAAAATATTAGGCTAGCTAATCAGTTTTCTCAGTGGTTAGAGTGTCAGCCCACAGACTCTCTCACATCGATGTTTCTCTCTTTCTGTCTCGCCCCCCTCTCTCCTACTCTGTCTAAAAAGAATCAATGGAAAAAATATCCTCAGGTAAGGATTAATAAAACAAACAAAAAAAAATTAGGTTATTTCCCTCTTACCTTATCCTGTGCAACAGCCTCAAGGGGTTTTGAAGATTCTACCACCAGTGGAACAAGATTTGTAGGGTCTTCATTGGAATTAAAAGACTGCAATTTTAATTCTTTATCTAAAACTTCACCAAGAGAATCATTCTCTTCAGGTATAGGAGAGGTCTTAATAGTATCATCCATTACTTCACCATTCATAGGCTCTAATTCAAATTCCTACACAGAGGTGGAGGGGGATAAATCAGGACATAATTACTGGCTCACTTATTTGTCATGTCATGTGGATCCATTCTCAGTCTTATCTGCCAGGTACCAGGACGCAAGATAAATTCTACCACATTAAAGGGCAAGGGTTAAAGAATAGTGTTATTGGGGAAAAGGGGAAATGTATGAGGCAGGGTCAATAAAAGAAAAGAATCCAAGTACCCCAAACTCCTCCTGTTCTCATGGTGAGAGGACAGGAATTGGATACGCTATGGGCACAGTGTGGGTTTGAGATTCAATAATGAGAACCTGCCCCTTCTTGCTCTTCTTATCAAAGAGCAATTATGGGAGGAACCTTTTTAGTAAAAAAGCTCCAGAGAGAGTCTAGATGTGGTGCCACCTCTTTAAAGAACACCAGCTACTCAGCACTTACTATCTTTGGCACCTGTAGGAAGTGAGTTTCACCTGCCAGGGGAAGGAACACTAGCAATCCTGTGGGAAGCTGAGTTTGGCTGCAGATGCCTACAGGGATAAATGAGCCCCCAATCTCAGTTCCTTGTCTAGTTAACTTAGGGTCATTTCTGAACAATCCTCCTTAACTCACATTAAAATATAGAAAAGTGATCTGATAACACAAACCCTGCAATTTCTAAAAATCTTCCAATGTTTACCAATTTTCTATTTAAAGTCTAATATTTCTAATCCTACTGATATTCTAATGGTTAGAAGGCATTTTATTACCATTTTAAAAATAAGAAAACTGATGTGCTTAAGTGTTCAGAAATAGATTTGGCTGAATTATATAGAACACTTGAAATCATATAAAGAACATTTTCCACAGGACTATTGGAATCAGGGGATTAGATATACAAAATAACTTGCACAAAGAAGGCAATTACAATAAAACTCACAAAAGGAGCAATAGGGCAGAAGACATATCAAAAGGAAGAAAATGAGAAAAATAGAGCAAAAGCTTTAAAAAAAACAGAATTCTGGTAACTAAAAGTGAGAAGCAACAGACGAGAACAACTCAGTCCAATCAGTTTTAGTGTTGGAAACAGAAAAAAAGGTAAGAAATTTTGTTTAAAAAGGCTCAACACAGAAGTGATAAGAAAGAACAGAGATTGTGTTAAATTTAAGATGATAAAAGACATCTGTCTAAACAGAAATATTCAGAAAGCAAGTAACATTATGAGACTACACTCTGGATCAATATTGAATGTCGACAGTTATTGATCATCCCTTTATTGATCCAAGAGACTGGATGCATTTTCAAAAGAGAGAGCATGAACCAAAGAGCAGAAAGTCAAGAACTAAGTCTTTCAGAATGTCCAAAAGATGAAAAAGCAGAACAGTCAAAAAATAAAAGAAAATTTAAGAGATAGGAAAACCAAGAAACTAAAACATAGTAGTATTAAAAAGCAAGGGAGCTAGAGAATCTTGAAGAGAGAGTAGTCAATCTAGGTCAGAAAATCCACTGGAATTGAATAAAAGTGTCACAGGTGACCTATAATATGTGCTCAATATATTGTTGGACAAATAAAACTGGTTAAATAAATTATGTACAGTTAATATTAAGTTTTTAAAAGAGAAAAAAAGCACAAATATATATATATATATCCATAAGCATCTAGGTGCACATAAATCTTTTTTATTTTTCAAATATAATTTATATTCAATATTACTCTGTATTAGTTTCAGATGTACAGCAAAGTAGTTTTAAAAACCAAGTACTTTGTAGAGTGGTCCTCCCGCTGCTTCAAGTACCCACCTGGCCCCACACATATTTATCACAATATTATTGACTATGTACCCTATGCTGTAATCTACATCTCTGTGACTATTTTGTAACTACCAATTTACATGGTTTGATCCCATCACCTTTTTCACCCAGCCCCTTTACCCGCCTCTCCTCTGACAACTGTTAGTTTGTTCTCTGTATCTATATGTATGTTTTAATTTTGTTTATTTTGTTCATTAGATTCTGCATGTCAGTGCAATTATATGGTATTTATCTTTCTCTGTCTGACTTATTTCACTTAACACAATATCACCTGGGTCCATTCATGCTGTCACAAAGAGTACAATTTTGTTTTTTACGGCTGAATATTATTCTATTGTGTATGTATATGTACCACAGCTTTTTTTATCCATCATTTATTGATGGGTAGTATTTGGGTTGCTAGACCACCTTCTTAACTATATCCTATCTAATAAAGAGGAAATATGCTAAATGACCATCACTCCATCACAAAGATGGCTGCACCCACAGCTAAGGCAAAGTTCCCATAAGGAGCCTTAACGAGCCATCAGCAGGGACATGAGGGTTTGGCAGGGGACCTCAGGCTTCACCTCCCACCTGAAAAAGGGCTTGACAGGGGACCTCAGGCTGCGCGCCCCCCCCCCCACCTGTCAAGGGCTTGGCAAGGGACCTCAGGCTGCGCCCCCACCCCCGCAAGGCTTGACAAGGGATCTCAGGCTGCGCCCCCTGCCCTGGTGTCAGGCTGGGGAACCTGAGGCCATGCCTGGGGGACCTCAATGTGCGCTTCCCGTCCTGGTGCTGGGCTAGGGGACCTCAGGTTGCTCCCCCCGCCCCAGCGCCAGGCTGGGGGACCTCAGGCCACACTCCCCACCAGGTGGGGCTTGGCAGGGGACTTCAGGCCATGCCCCCCTACCCAGAAGGGCTTGACGGGGGACCTTAAGGTGCATCCCTAGGGCTGGGTCGGGGGAACTCAGGCTGCACCCCCGTCCAGTGGGGCTTGACAGGGAACCTGAGGCTGTGCCCGCCCCTGCCTGGTGGGGCTTGATGGAGGACCTCAAGTTATGCCCATCCTCTCCCCCCCCCCCCCCCCGGCCCGGTCTGGGCTGGGGGACCTCAGGCCACATCCCCCATCCTGGCGCTGGGCCAGAGGACCTGAGGCTACGCCCCCTGCCCAGCGGGACTTGACAAGGATGGAACTGGCTGGGTCTGGATCTATCCTAATGGGTCGGGGGGCAGCCAGGTCTGGGTCTCAGGTGATTTTGAGGTGCATGTGAGTGGGCAGGGACTTTACTCTGGGTCCTATGGTGTGCCCCAGACTCTCACAGGAGGGTTTTCATACACATTTTACTAACTTTCTTTCATCTCTGACACTTATATTATAGAGAAAGGGCAAGTAGCAATATTAAATTATTTCCTCTAATTAATCCCCTTTTAATGTGCACGAATTTCGTGCACCTGGCCACTAGTATAAGAATATACTCAAAATGGATTAAAGACTTAAATGTAAGACCCAAAACCATAAAACTATTATAAGAAAACATAGGCAGTAAAATACTGCACATTTTTCTTAGCATTGTGTTTTCTGATAACATCTTCTTGGGTAAGGGAAATGAGAAAAAAATAAATGGGACTACATTGAATTAAAAAGGTTTTGCACAGTAAGGGAAACGATCAAGAAAACAAAAAGACAAACAACTGAATGGGAGAAGATATTTGACAGTGATATATCTGATAAGTGGTTAATATCCAAAACTTATAAAGAACACAGAAAACGACACCAGAAAAGCAAATAACCCAACAAAAAGTAAGCAAAAGACCTGACTAGACACTTCTCCAGAGGACCTACAGAAGGCCAATAGAGATATAAAAAGATGCTCAACATCATTAATCATCAGAAAAATGCAAATTAAAACCACAATGAGATGCCACCTCACACCTATCAAAAAAGTTATCAATAAATCAATAAACAACAAGTCTTAGAGAGCACATGGGAAAAAAGGAACCTCATGCACTGTTGGTGGGAATGCAGATGGGCGCAACCACTATGCAAAACAGTGTGGACGTTCTCAAAAAATTAAAAATGAACCCTAGGCATTTTGGCTCTGTGATAGAGTGTTGGCCCACAGTCTGAAGGGTCACCTTGGTTGCGGGCACATCCCCCGTAGGGGGTGTGCAGGAGGCAGCTGATCGATGATTCTCTTTCATCGATGTTTCTGACTCTCTGTCCCTCTCTCTTCCTCTCTGTAAAAAATCAATAAAATATATTAAAAAAAAAAAAAAAGAAAATTAAGATTTTTGTATACTTCCATTCATTTTATTTAGTAAGTGGTCTCCCACCTTTTCACTATCTTGCTTCTCCAGATGTGACTGGGTTTCAGGTGCTGAATGAGCATCTTTATCACTATTTCCATTGTCAAATTCTATCACATTCTGTACATGTTCTTCTTTTGGTAATTCTTCTGAGCTCTCTGATATGCGTGGAGTAGACTCCAACCTACAAAAAAAAAAAAAAGAAAACCATTCTTACATGGTTTCTTAAGGATGAATATGAATTTCAGAAATCTGTTAATAAAATAACACTTTAAAGAATCAACTAAGTGATGTTCAGTCAACAATTTCAAATTTTACAGGTCCAAGACCAACCTTTTAATCCTATAAATTGATTCTCCTTCCTATCTTGTTCTCCAATTCAATTAATAACATCAACATCTTTTCAAACATGTAAACGAGACCTTCCCTTTATTGGTATCTGGTAATATCTTATTCTATTAAAGTAAACATACATCTTAGTATACCTGGGACCATAGTGTTTAAGGCTTTTATCCCAGCATTAGCATATTATAATGTCCCTTTCTTTCTCAAAAATATCAGTTTGTACCATATATGATATGGTTTAGTTCTACTTCCGAAATGCCTTTCAAACATATCCCTAACTTACTATTACCATTTTCAAGCCCCAATTCTCTGGAGAATTCTCACAGTAACTTCTCCCAACTCATCTTTTCTAGATATATACATAATAGATAGATGATGGATAGATAGATAGATAGATAGATAGATAGATAGATAGATAGATAGACAGACAGACAGACAGACAAGGAGGTTGGGGAAAATAGTGATGTAAAAGAAATATCGATCAGTTGCCTCTCATTCACACCTCAACCAATATTGTACCTACAACCTGGACATGTGCCCTGACTAGGAATCAAACTGGCAATGTTTCAGAGCTCAGAGCTCAGAACAACACTCAACCAATTTAGACACACCAACCGGGGCACCCAATTCATCTTAATACTTATTCTTTAGTAAGGTTTTCAGAGCTGTGTTTCTCATATACATATCTGTACCAGTGACAGCCCCACTCAGAAAACTGATAGTTTTCTATGGCTTAGAGAATCCTATATAATAAAAGAGAAACATGTAAACTGACCGTACCTCCGCTACGCTCACCAAACAGGAATATGCAAATTAACCCAACAAAGATGGTGGGTTAATTTGAATAGTCAGGCACTGAGCGGCCTGGGTCTCGGGAACATCCTCGGGATCCAGGCCATTTCTTGCCTGTAGGCCCACACGTAGACCCTGAGTGGCCGGGGTCCCAGAACGTCCCCAGCCACCCCAGGCCTACAGGTGCAGACACCAAGCGGCTGAGGGTGGGGCGGGAACATCCCCGCGTCACCATGGCGATGTGGCAGCTCTTCCCACCCCGCGAACGCTTGCACTTGTGCCATTGCCAAGCAGCAGCCCAGGTCTACGCCCCCAGCCCAGCATGGCCTAGGATCTCCACATGCCTCCAAGCCCAGCGCCCATAACACGGGACTGGCTGGCGGCCTCAGGGGCGTGTGGAGGCTGGGCAGCCGCCCCACAATGGCCGGGGATCTCCGCAGGCTCCCAAGCCCGGCACCCATGACGTGAGGCTGGCCGCCAGCCTCAGAAGCATGCCCCCCCACACACAGGGTGGAGGGGACACACCCCTAGCCCAGTGGACACAATGCAGGGATCCTCTGTACGTGAGCTGCAGAGGAAATACCTTTTCTTTTTTTAAAATATATTTTATTAAATTTTTTTTTTTACAGAGAAAAGGAAAAAGGATAGACAGTTGGAAACATCATTGAGAGAAAAACATCAGCTGCCTCTTGAACACTCCCCACTGGGGATGTGCCCCCAACCAAGGTACCTGCCCTTAACAGGAATCAATCCTGGGACCCTTCAGTCTGCAGGCCGACATTCTATCCACTAAGCCAAACCAGTTTGAGCATAAACACCTTTTCTGACCGGTCATTGGCGAAACTCCCTGTAAGCTGCCACTTGCAGTGTTCTTGATAACTTGGGTAATAAGAATCCAAGAAGGTGATCTAGGGTTTTTCCACCACACTCCTGAAGGAAAAAATGAAGGTTTGCTGCTGGAGAGGCTAAGAAAATCATATCCTGCCCTAGCAGGTTTGCCTCAGTGGATAGAGCCTCAGCCTGCCGCCCACAGGGTCAGGGTTTGATTCTGATCAAGGGTATGTAACCTAGGTTACAGGCTCCTCCCTGACCGGGGCCCAGGTCAGTGCTCATGCAGGAGGCAACCAATCAAAGTGTCCCTCTCACATTGATATTTCTGTCTTTCCCTCTCTCTTCCACGCTCTCTAAAAATCAATGGAAACATATCCTCAGGTGAGGATAAAAAAGAAAGAAATGTCATATCCTATGAAAGACACATCTTGAAAATGCCTAAAGAAAGTTGTCATGTTTTCATGGTGAAGGGACTGAAGTCTGTGTCGATGAGAACACCTTGGCGGCTATAGCAGCAGGGTGAGGGGGCTGGCGCCTTCCCCTGATCAGCCCAGTTGTCTCCCACAGAGGGAGGCCAGACTGCAGCTTAGGCCTGCTCCCCACAGTAGGACATCCCCTGAGGGCTCCCAGTCTGTGCAAGGGGGCAGGCTGGGCTGAGGGAACTGCCTCCTCTGTGCACGAATTTTGTGCACCAGGCCACTAGTAAGGTATATCTCCCTTTAAAGTCTAACAAGACCAGATCCTTATATTCTTACCTCCTACTAGATACTACTGTAACAATGAGAAATTGTAACTCACCCCACCATTCTTCTTGACACTGTTTCTGTAAATGCTGATTCTGACTAATATTAGCTTATAGATGAACATGTGGTCAGAGGATGGCTGCCACAAGATGGCTGGTAGGAGAGGGCAGTTGGGGGCAACTAGGCAAGCCAGGGAAGGCAGTTGGGGGCAATTAGGCTGGCAGGGGAGCAGTTAGGCATCAATCAGGCTAGCAGAAGAGTGGTTAGGGGGTGATCAGGCTGGCAGTCAGAAGCAGTTAGGGGCAATTAGGCATGCAGGCAGGCAAGCAGTTGGTAGCTAGGAGTCCTGGATTGTGAGAGGGATGTCCGACTGCCAGTTTAGGCCTGATCCCTATAGGCAGTCGGAAATCACCCAAAGAGTCCCAGATTGGAGAGGGTGCAGGATAGGCCGAGGGACTCTTCTCTTATCCCCGTGCATGAATTTCATGCACCGAGCCTCTAGTGTTTGCATAAGAATCCTAGGAACTAAATTCAAAAGATGCAGACACTGACCTTCAGTCATCCTAGTTCTGGGAAACTTGCTAATATTTAACCACAGAACCAGGATGATGCACAACAAGAATGAAGAAGGCCAGAGTGATATACACCAGACCATCACTTCACCAGTTTTGAGATCCTTATCGGAATGGACTAGCCTGCATATACAGAATTATTCAACTTCATCATCATGATTTCTTTGTTCTGCTTCCCCTGTTCCTCCTTATAAAAACCTCTGTCTGCACTGAGATGCTGAGACGGGCTTTTGACAGAGTCCCCTCTCTTCTCAGGTGACTACCACTTGAATAAACCTCTTTCCTTTTCATCAGAATGTGTCTCACAAGTCTGGCTTCTGTGGCAGCAGGCAGCTGAAACCTGGTTTCAGTAACACTACCATTTACCTTATATATCCTTATCAACATTCCCCTTAGTTTTGTACCTTTGTTTGTGTTATTCCTGTAGTCTAGATCTGTACAATGCAATACAGTAGCCATAAGACACATGTTACTATTTATGTTAATTAAAAGTAAATGAAATGAAAAATTCAATTCCTCAATAGCACTAGCCATACTTCAAGTGCTCAAATGGCTGCCATACAGGACAGGGCAGACACAGGACATTTCCTTCATTACAGGAAGTTCTTTGGACATCCATGGTATAGAGCCAGGCTCAGCAAACTTTTCCTTTATGTTTTGTGGGCCACATGATCTCTCGACTCTGCCACTTAACTCAAAAGCAATCATAAAAACATGTAAACTAATGGATGTGTTACAATAAAGCTTTATTTACAACGGTTGGCGAGCCAGATTGGACCTATGGACCATAGTTTGTGAACCCTTGGGCTAGAATTTCTTGTTAAGTCACCACTTATTTCTGAAGCCCTGGCCCAAATACCAAATGTTTCCATCCCCTCAATTTAGAGTCAGTCACGCTCTCCTATGCATCACAGCAATTTGCACTTCTATTATTATACTATCACAATCTATTTTGCAATGCTCTTCACCTGTGCCACAAAAAGACACATGTATAAGAAACCACTAGTATTCTTCAAGGGCAAAGATAAAATTATGTTCTTCGTAGTGTCTGAAGCATTCAAGTATATAGCCTTACTGTTGTTTATGAAAAGCAAACTGAATTCCATATCATTCTGAGATGTTCAATTTAAAATACATTGTTACATTTCCTTCTAAAAAGTGTATTACATCAAAATGTGGCTCAGTGAGAAAACTATAATTATCTAAACTCTTATTCTATTCAAAAATTACTCAATTTAAATACCTATTTATATTGCCTTTAACATGAATTTCTTACTAAAATAAAACATTTACATACTGACACAATTATACAAAAGAAAAATTATTTACATAATAAAATTAGTATAGATACAAAATTATCTACATGAGTAAAATAATTTCATAGCTAAAATGGCAAAACTATGAATGGTTGATTCAGGAATAGTTGGTAGGACTAGTAGGGCAGAAGTGTAGATTTAATATAAAATTAAAAATCTTGTTTTCTTAAAGATTCAAAGGAAAATAGAGGGAAAGTTTTGACCCAAGTGTTCTGTTGATTAAGAGGAGCTTACTGCATCATTACAATTATCACTAATTTATGTTATATCCAATATCCCAGTGAAATGAATCCGTTATAATGTAAAACTGAGGGTTTTTTAAATTGACCACACCTCAGCATTACTAAAAATTACAGCTACTGTCAAATTCAAAGTTAGTGATAATGACACATTTGGGATAACCAATAGAATATTCTCCTGGACTTTCATGCCTATGAGGCTAACTTACGAGTTTATTCTATTCTCTTACTAGCACATTCTCCTTATAGCATTGTCAAAGTGACATCACTGGTAAGTGTTACCGATTATCTTGTAGAAAAATTCAAATACCAACTTCTATACCAAGGTCATTTGCTGCACGAACAATATACTACTACTAAATATTAATAATGTGAAAATAAGAATAAACAAAACAATGAGGGTAAAATAAACAATACTTTACTTAATCCCTGAAGCTGTGGGTGAAGTCTGGGCTGTCTTTTCATCTTCCCCTGGAGGATCACTAAATTCAGAATGCTGAAACTGCTTTTCAACCTTTGGCCGCTTCAGATGACTACTTCGAGTACGAGTAGAAACTGGTGTTTTATCATGACCTAAGAAAAAATAGCAGACATGCAAGAACTATGCTAGTTTATATATATCCCCACCATTGCACACTTCCTTTCTCTCATATCAGACTTTGCAATATTCATTCCTCACATTTCCATGTTATCTTGAGCTTCACAAAGTGTTTTTTGCATTTTCACTTATATTCTCTCCCAATAATCTCTGTCAACCTTATGACATAGTGTAATTTTAATATATTCTCCCTAAATGATACAGGGGGAAATATTGGGTTTAATATTAAAATAAAACATTAGTTGCACTGCGTTAAGTGGGAAGATTAGATTTTTCTACTTTTCCTGGTTTCATGAAATCTGACCAAACTAAATGAATCTGAATATGACTGGGGAATTTGGACTGCAATATAATAGAAATGAGGCTTGTTAAATCTTGGGAAATAAGGCAGATGTTACTGTCCGTATTTCACAAAAGAAAATGAGGAAGAGAGCTACCGTAGCTCACTCTGTTCACCCAGCAAAATCAGTGGTAGTGGTGGCATTAGAACAGTGGTTGGCAAACTGGCTCGCAAGCCGCAGTTTGCCGACCACTGCATTAGAACCCGTAACTAGACTTTTGAGTTGGGTAAGTCTTCACTTGTTTGCTTGTGCAGGCGCGCGCGCACACGCGCACACACACACACACACACACACACACACACACACACACTAATTCTAAGTATTTCAAATACGTTCTAATAGATCAGCTGAATTTCTTACCTTCAGAAGTGCTTGCAACAGCATCTTTTAGAGAATCAACCTAAAATAGAGATACAGATTAAAACCAAATGCTTTAGATTATTTTTTCTCCCTGTGGATCTACTTTATTCAGTGTCAAAGAAAATCTTTTAAAACATTTTTCAAATAGCACTTTTTGTACTCACTATTCATCAATTAAAACATATTTAAGAAATAAAAAGGCTATGTTACAGCCCAGATTATTATGAGGCTAAGAACTTATCAAGCCATCTCATGTCTTGTAAACACTGGATTTCCAGTATTCTGTCTTCAGCAACATTCTCTTTTCAATCTATGCATTCCCTTTGCCATTTTATCTACTATCTTCACTTTAACATTTACTAGTATATACAAGTTAATTCCAACTTCCAAAGCTCTATTTCTAATTAAATATCCCCCCAGTGGATGTTCCATCTAATTTCACATCCAACCTGTTTCAAACAGAACAATATCATTTTAATAATCTTTTCCCAATAGTATTCCCTATCTTAGTTCAGTGACAGTAACAATTCTGTCAATCCAGAATGGCTGTGAGACAGTAATGACTTCTTCCTATCCCTCAATCAACCACAAAGCCTGTCAATTCTGACTTTCAGAATCTCTCAACCGCCCGCCCCTTTGTATTGCCAATGCTTTAGTTCAGGCCTTTCTCATCTTCATCATGAACTGTTCCAATAGCCTCCTCACTGGCATCCCTCACTCCAGCCACATGCCTCATAATCCTCTCCACCTTGATGGCAGTGATGCTTCCCATCTGCAAGTTGTGCTACTCCTTTACATTTCAAAAAATAAAATAAAATTTAATAGTTTATCACTACCTACAATACAAACTCAACATGCCATTTTCTTTCCACCTCTGTGTTTTATACATGCCATCCCTTATAATTCCTAACACAGAACTCCCACATACCTTTTAATGGTCATTTCAGCTCAGTTACTACTTCATCAATTCCAGTCCCTGCACAGAATTAGTCATATATACTCTTTTATATACCTGTAATCACTTGCTGTATGTGAGCTCTATTAAGGCAATTATTAACCTACTAGAGGCCCAGTGCATGAAATTCGTGCACGTTGTCCCTCAGCCCAGCTTGCATCATCTCCAATCTGGGACCCTTCAGGGGATGTCCGACTGTGTGATCGGGCCTAAACCAGCAGTCGGAAATCCCTTTCGCAATCCAGGACCACAGGCTCCTAACTGCTCACCTACCTGCTTGCCTGATCGCTCCTAACCACTCTGCCTATCAGTCTGATCAATCCCAACTGCCCCCACCCCCGCCAGCCTACTTGCCCCCGAATACCCCCCTTGCCGGCATGCTCACCCCCAACTGCCCCCCCCACTGGCCTGATTGCCCCCATCTGCAACCCCCACCAGCCTAGTCGTCCTCACCTGCTCCCACCTGCAGGCCTGCTGATCCCAGTATTACCCCCTGCCAGCCTGCTCACCCCTACCTGTTCCCCCTTGCTAGCCTGCTCGCCCCCAACTCCCCCCCCCCGCAGACCTGATATCCCCCAACTGCCCCCCCCGTGGACCTGATATCCCCCAACTATCTCCCCCTACTCGCCTGCTCACCCCCAATTGCTGCACACCTCCCCCCTCCCCCAGCCTGATTGCCCCTAACCGCCTCTGCCTCGGCCCTGCCATCATGGCTTTGTCTGGAAGGACATCGGGAAGGTCTCCCTGTCTAATTAGCATATTACCCTTTTAGTAGTACAGATAGTATAATTGTCCACTTATCTGTTCCAATAGTGGACCATTTACTTGTCCTAGGCTTAACAGACCCATAATTTGTATGCCAGCACTTGTCAAGGTACCCACTTTACTGCAAGAGGGCTCAGGCCAGGTTGAGGGACAACTCCCCTCCCCCTCCCAGTGCACAGATGTTGTGCATCAGGCCTCTAGTTACATTATAAATGTAAAACTTAATATGTTAAGAAAGTAAATGATGGCATCTATAACAATAATCTTCTATAATAATAAAAAGGTAATATGCTAATTAGACCAGACAGCTGAATGACCTTCCAGACGACCTCCGGGACAAAGCAGGGCTGCAAGGGCCGAGGCAAGCCACCGGTCCTGCAAGGGCTGAGCCCCTTGCAAGAATTTCATGCATCGAGCCTCTAGTTTACATATAATAGCCTAGTGTGCTGCTGTTTAACAATCGTATTTAAAAATAGTAGAAAAATAGTAATACCGTGAAAAATGCTTAAAATGTTATGTTATGCACCCTTGTAGCTTCCAAAAAAAATTGTTATGTTAGTGAGAAAAGCAGTTAGAATTAACATAAAACAAAAATAAAATGTATGCAGATACATGTATATTATATGCAAGATATTAACAGTTGCTATCTCTGTTTATTTTCTTCTACATTATTGTATATGAATTCCAAATTATTTTTCAAAGAAAAATTAAATCCTTAGTAACCAATTAAATAATGCCAGAAAACTAATACAGTAGAAATTACATAAGTCTATTGAATGACAAAAACATTTAAAAAATTAAATATTCACTGAATCTATTTTAAAGAAACAAAAAATATTTCCTACAATAAATATACAGTGTACCTACAGTTAGCTGCATCTCACTAGACGGACCGTCTTCAGTTCCTGCTTCATATTCGGGAACAGATGCAAGACCATATTCTCCAGATGTGGTTCTTTTAGCTTCATATGGAGAAATTACTGTGTGCAGAAGAATTTTACAAATTGTAACCCAAACCAGTATTTGGTTTTAATAACATTGCTTTGACTTTCACAAGAGCCCTATGGAGCAGCACGAATATAAGAGTGTTGGGAATCTAGGTGTAGGATATCCCCTTCACCTATATCTTACAATAAAACCTTACAATTATAAAGCATCTTAAATAATCATCTGTATTTTGTGACTTTGAGGAGAGACACATGAGACTGTGGACTATCTTTGATCTCCTGATGCCTATTCTATACTATTTCAGTATCTCTGTGTATTTCTTACACACCAATTATTACATTCTGCTACACTATTCTTAATAACTCAAATGCTAATATTAATATATAACAAAAAAAATCATACTTTAGGAAAGAGCAATCACATCCCAGCATACCACTGGAGTGTAAGATACCATCACCACCAGGCACTGCTATTTTTAAGTGGGACATGTGTTCAAACTAAAAACATTCTTACCTGTAAGTCTAAGTGTTTCTCTCTGTAATGCTCTGGTGACAGGTATTCTCTGGTACCACTGTCCAACACCTTCAACTTCCCAAAGGAGTTCATGGTCTCCTGGATACTTTTCACAGTATTGTTTGCAAGCTGAAAAACACATTTAGAATTTTCTAGAAATCCCAAATATCAATTATTTTAGAAAACAGAAAGATAGAAAGCTGCCAATTCACTTAATGGGCTAGCACAACTTTTTTATAGCAAAACAACAAGCCAACTCTAAAAAATTATACAGTCGTCTCATTTACATAAAAATTCTAAATGAAATTCCATATTAAAATTTTAATATGCCGAAACCGGTTTGGCTCAGTGGTAGAGCGTCGGTCTGTGGACTGAAAGGTCCCGGGTTCGATTCTGGTCAAGGTCATGTACCTTGGTTGTGGGCACATCCCCGGTAGGGGGTGTGCAAGAGGCAGCTGGTCAGTGTTTTTCTCTCATCGACGTTTCAAGCTCTCTATCTCTCTCCCTTCCTCTCTGTACAAAATCAATAAAATATATATTTTTTAAAAATGACTTTCATATAATGTCACATTAAAAAAAAGTTTTAATGTGATCAAGTAATAAAAATTTAAATACAAGTTGTGTTTAATCTTTAAAAAGAAAATTATTAAATTTTATTACGGGACATAAAAGAAGAATTAAATAAAAGGATTGCTAAATTTAATAGTATAAAAACACCAATTATCTCCATATTATTTTGTAAACTTGATGCAATCCTAAACAAAATACCAACAGTGTTTCTTTTTAATGGAACTTTATAAAATTTGGTCCCAAATTCAAAATAAAAGAACTAAGAGTAAGTATTAAGGGATTTTTCCTATAGCACTCCTCCCCAAATTTAGTAGAGCAATCATCTATGTTCAAATTATCAAAGAGTACACAAGGGTTCATTCCGTTCTCATGTATGGGTCTAGAGAAAAACTATAATTCAAAATGGGGATACAACATTTGGTTCTTGTTTTCTAGATTTTTAATATTAAAAAGAGAGAGTAAACCTAGAAAATATATTTTTAGTGAAAATAAGCATCTAACGGTAAATTATATTTTATTAAAATTTTCAAAATACTTTCCAGGATTAAATCTTACTACATTATGAAAAAATAGTTATTTGGGCTTTATACAAATGCAAATATAAGTCCACTAATAAGTATTTACCTTACTTTTTATACTTTCTTATATGTCTGAGATTCCTTCCTTCCTTCCTTCCTTCTTCCTTCCTTCCTTCCTTCCTTTTTTAATTTAAAAGCTACCACAAGTGGTCAAATAATATAGACATTTCTCCAAAAAAGACATACAAAGGTCCAATAAGACATGAAAAGATGTTCAACATCAAATGCAAACCAAAACTGCTAGAAGTCATTTCACACCTACTCAGATGACTACTATAAAAAAGGCAGATGAGCCCTAGCTGATTAGGCTCAGTGGAAAGAGCATTGGCCTGAGGACTGAAGGGTCCCGGTTTCGATTCCGGTCAAGGACACATGCCTGGGTTGTGGCCTCGATCCCCAGTAGAGGGGGCATGCAAGAGACAACCAGTCAATGATTATCTTATCATTAGTGTGGTTTTTTTTTTTCTCTCTCTCTCCTCCCTTTCTCTCTAAATCAATTAAAAATATATATTTTTACAAGGGCAGATAATAAATGTTGGCAAGGATGTGAAGAAATTGAACTCCTCATACGTTGTTTATGAGAATATAAAATGGTGCAGTTGCTTTGGAAAATAGTTTGACAGTTCCTCAAAATGTTAAACTTAAGAGTCACCATATGGCCCAACAATTCTATCCACTTCTAAATATATACACAAGAAAAATGCCCAACAAAAAGTACACAAATTTTCAAAGCAACATTAAACATAATATCTAAAATATAGAAATAACCTAAAAGTCCATCAATTGATGATGGATAAACAAAATGTGGTATATCATACAGTGAAACATTATTTAGATATCAAAAGGAATTAAGCGCTGAAACCAGTTTGGCTCAATGGATAGAGTGTCAGCTTGGGGACTGAAAGGTCCCGGGTTCGATTCCGGTCAAGGGCATGTACCTTGGTTGCCGGCATATCCCCAGTAGGGGGTGTGCAAGAGGCAGCTGATCGATGACTCTCTCTCATCGATGTTTCTAACTCTTTATTTCTCTCCCTTCCTCTCTGTACAAAATCAATAAAAAATATATATATAAAAAACTTATAAAAAAAGGAATTAAGCACTGATTCATACAACAGCATAGATGAATCTTTAAAACATTTGTGCAAAATAAAAGAAGCCAGACACAAAGGACTTATATATTCACTAGAGGCTCAATGCATAAAACTTGTGTAAGAGTAGACCTTCCTTCCCCGGCTGCCAGCAGGCACCCCACACCTGGGCTTCCCTCGCAGCCCCAGCTTCATTTAGAAGGATGTCCGGAAGGACATCTGGTCTAATTAGCATATTAAGCTTTTATTATTATAGAAGATATCATATGATTGCATTTATAAGAAATGTCCAGAATAGGTAAATCCAAAAAGACGGAAAATAGATTAGTGGTTACTAGGTAATGGAGAAATGGGAGAATGGATGGTGACTGGGATTGATTACTGGTCAAGAGCACATGCCTAGGTTGGAGGTTCAATCCCCAGCCTCCATTGGGGTGCATGCAGGAATCCATGTGTCTCTCTCACATCAATGTTTCTCCTTCTCTCTCTCTCTCTCTCTCTCTCTCTCTCTCTCTCTCTCTCTCTCACTCTCTCTCTCTCTCCTCTCTCTCTCTCCTCTCCTCTCCTCTCCTCTCCTCTCCTCTCCTCTCCTCTCCTCTCCTCTCCTCTCCTCTCCTCTCCTCTCTTCTCCTCTCCCTTCCCACCCTCCCTTCTTCCACTCTCTCTAAAAATCAATGTAAAAAATATCCTCGGGTGAGGATTAACATTTTAAAAAGATGAATTTTATGGTATATAAATTAAAGCTCTACTTGACTATGTGGCTTAGTGGTTGAGTGTTGACATATGAACCAGGAAGTCATGGTTCCATTCCCGGTGAGGGCACATGCCCAGGTTGTGGGCTCGATCCCCGGTAGGGGGTATGCAGGAGGCAGCTGATCAATGATTCTCTCTCATTGTTGATGTTTCTATCTCTCTCTCCCTCTCCCTTCCTCTTAGAAATCAATACAAAAAAGTACTTAAAATAAAAACAAAAGTTTTAAAAATTAAAGCTCACATCTTTAAAAAAACAAAACAAAAAAAAAACAACTACCATTACCCCTCCATCCTCACCAAAAAAACACACAAAAAACACCACCACAGATAATGTGAGATAAGGACACTTTGCAGAATTAAGCCCTAAGCCAGATATCAACAGTACAACGATTGAAATTTCTTTTGAGAGCCAATTTTAAACTTAAACTTCTTCTAACGCCTCTTCTTCAAAACAGACTCGCCCAGGTGGTGATATTTTGTGGAAGAGCCACACCCAAAGGGCCAAAGAGCTGCATGTGGCTCCAGAGCCACAGTTTGTCGACCACAGCACTAGGGTATCAAAGAATCAAATTTTATTTAATATTGTTATATGCACATTTACAATATTCTGCAGAAACTAGTCAGAGACAAGTTTAACATTTTTCACTTATTCCATTTACCTTCGTACATTATAGAGGTCAGTGGGTACCGTAAGCCAAGTAGATCTTCTGTAAAGGAATCAACAAAGTCCTCCAGCATATGAAGCTCAAACTCTCTGCCTCGATATTTTTTTCTTATAAACATTGTATCAAGAACTGGCAGTTGGTAGCTTTGGGTAAGAAGTGAGGCATATATGCTTCCTGCAATCATAAGAACAGAAAGCCAACAATTTTTTACACTGAAAGACCTTTATGTATATACTTTTAGAAAACATGAGGTAACTGTCTGGGTTTTTCAGAGGATAAAAAAGGAGTGCTATCCCAAAAAGTTTCCTCTATCCCTTTTATGGCCAATCCATCTCTCCTGGGTCTCTGTTTGATTTCTGCCCCTACAAATTTGCTATTACTTTTCTAGAATAACATAAATGGAATCACACAGTATGTTTTCTTAGTGCCTGGTTTCTTTTTCCCAACAAAATGATTCTGAAATCTAGTACATGCTATGTCTTTCAGTACTTAATGGTATGCATGATATGGGTTAACTGAAATACATTTATCTATTTACTATTTTTAAAATTTATTTTTGTTGTTGAAATTATTACAGATGTCCCCCATTTTCTCTCCTTTTGCCCACCTTGGCCTGGCTCCTGCCATTTGTCTTATTTACAATTTGGGAGGTTATAAATAAAGCTGTTTAGATAATCTCTTTTAAAACATTTTAAAAGGGGGTGCTATAATAAAACTAACCAAAAGTAACCTCACAAGGTGATCTGATCAAACATTCCAAGCTGGGCAGGTCATGTGGGTAGTCACACCCCAGGCAAATAATTTCTTTAGTGAGAGGTCTGTCTTTGCCTTAACCAAGCTCTCTCCATCATTTTTGCACATCTATATTAACATACCTTTGAAATGCTCATTTTCAGAACCCTTAGAAGCCTCACTACCCTCAAAAGAACACGTAATCTTAACTAGCCCGAAGCCCAATCCCAACTTGCTTTTCATGTCATCTTCCTTACATTCCCTCCTTAATTCCAAATGCATGAAAGAAGCTGAAATCTATCATTCTGGGAAGCATTATTCTCTGTTGAGATCTTGCTTCCCAGCACTGTCATCAGTTTGTAAAATAATGCAATAATTAGTAAATTATAATACAAGAATAAACTATTTCATGTACTCACAACTAAACCTAGTTTGGCTCCACCTGTACATATTCATTTCAAAAAATCACGCTGATTATCTTCTTTGCCTACATCTTAAATAGTTATACTTTGTATAAGGCTTATACAATGGCAGTCAAATAAAGGGCAGAAAAACGTCATGTTACCAGAGATCTTCATGCACGTCAACAGCTGTAGACAATAGCACAATTACCTAGTGGAGGAAAACCGCAACTGCTACCTTAAGTGAAGTCTTCATTACATAAAATGTATTGCACATGGCAATTAAATATTTATATTCCTCAAAGTTTCCTCTTTGACCACCTTCTCTTTCTAAATTCTCACTCTACGTAATTTCACCTACTCCCAGAGCTTCTATCATTTATCCAAATACTGACATCTACCAATCTTTAATTTCTGTAATTCCTGAGATTTACTCCAATGGAATACCTCATATAAATGTAAGTACTACAAAAACCACATGATCATCTCAATAAGTGGAGAAAAGAGTATTTGACAAAATCCAACGCCTTTCATGATGAAAATACTCAACATCCTCCACCTGATAAAGAGATCTATGAAAAACCCACAGCTAACAACACACTTAATGGTGAAAGACTGGATGGTTCCCCTATAAGATTAGGAACAAGACAAAAATGTTCACTCTCACCACTTCTATTCAACATTGTACTAAAGGTTGGGTAATTAGTCAAGAAAATAAAATAGAAGGCACCAGGTTGGAAAAAAAAAAAAAAGTAAAATTATTTTTGCAAATGACACAACCTTATATCTAGAAAACCTTAAGGAACCATTAAAAATTTATTAAAACTGACATATAAGTTTAGTAAGGTTGCAGGATCAACATACAAAAATCAACTGTATTTCTATACACGAACAATGAACAATCTGAAAAATGAAATTAAGATAACAATTCCTGCCCGCCAGTATAGCTTAGTGGTTGAGTATTTACCCATGATCAGGAAGTAACAGTTTGATTCCAGGTCAGGGCACATGCCAGGGTTTAGGGCTTGATCTCCAATAGGGAGCAGCCAATCAATGATGTTCTCTCATCATTGATGTTTTTATTCCTCTCTTCCCTCTCTCTGACATCAATAAAAACATATTTTTAAAAAAAATGATAAAATTCTTACGAGTAAATTCAACAAAAGTGCAAAACTTGCAAACTGAGAAGTATAAACCTTGTTAAAAGAATGAGCACCTAAATAAATGCCAAACATCTCATGTTCATTAATCAGAATACATAACATTGTTAAGATGTCAGTACTCCCCAAATTGGCCTACAGACTCAAAATCCCAGCTGGACTATTTTCCTGAAACCGAGACGGTAATCCTAAAATTGATATGGAAATGCAAAGGACTACCCCAGGAACTTTCTATCTGCAGCTTCCTGGTCCCCTAGGTCAGTGGTCGGCAAACACATTAGTCAACAGAGCAGCAAACCATGGCTCAGGAGCCGCAGTTTGCCAACCACTGCACTAAGTCCTCAGAATCCTTTGCATTCAGCAAATTAGGAAAAAGAATGCATCTCTGACCTGAAGTCATACATATTTCTTTAATTACTTTGGGGAGAATTAATCACACAGCCCCACCCAACTGTGCAAGTGACTAGAAAATATAATCTCTGACTGGGCAGCTGTGGACCAATGACTAGAATATAGAAGAGGAAGCACAAATATTTGGTTAGCTAGCAGCCTCAGCTAACTTTCCTCTTCTTTTTTATCTCCCATCAGAATTAAATATGTGCTGCAGAAGTGAACACACCTCCTTTTTAACTTTTAGGAAATCAATGATACATTTAGCAGGTAGTCCCTTTTGCTGGCAGACTTCCTCCACACAGTTATGTTTGTTTGGTTACCTCAGGCTGATATCAGTAACTTACTTACATCCCATGCCGATATTCACAAACACTCATACTCACTTTATACAGTTTTGACAGATCTTATCTTTATTTTAAAAATGTGTTGACTTCTGTGGCCCACATAAATATCCACACCTCCCCCAGGTGATACGACTTACATTTCTAACTGTGTACTATCCCTACTTACATGTTCCACGGGCACAATGAACTTCACATGTCAAACTAAACTCAAGTATTACCAAGTCCACTCCTTCTGTATTCCCAATCTCAGTTCATAGTTTCCCACCTAAGCATCCACGCCAAAACCCTCAAGATTCCTCACTGGTTACTCTTCTATCCCTTCTTACACAGGCAATGGAGTCACCACACAAACATCTTCCTCAAATCTGCTTCCCTGTCTGTCACTACTGCCACTTTGCAAACAGGAGTACTTCTTTCAGCTGGAGTACTAAGACAGCTATTTTAATGGACTTCAGAATACATAAATGTCAAATATCACACAATAAACTAGTGTATAAAACTATTTTAAAAAAATACATTTCACTGACTTTTTTACAGAGAGGAAGGGAGAAGGGTAGAGAGCCAGAAACATCGGTGAGAGAGAAACCGGCTGCCTTCTGCGCACTCTCCACTGGGTATGTGCCCGCAACCAAGGCACATGCCCTTGACCAGAATCGAACCTGGGGCCCTTGAGTTCACAGGCTGATGCTCTATCCTCTGAGCCAATCCAGCCAGAGCTAAAACTATTTTTTAATAATCTGTCATCTATCTAATCCAAAAAAATAAATAATAAATTCCTCACCGTGATCTCTTACTTCAAGCAAAAAAGAATTTTATATGGTTTCTTAAATTTCGCTGAACTGTAATAAAACTTAACCTCATAAACAAAGACTCCTTTTATATACCAAGGCTATTTTTATATCCCAACTATTATCCCCATATACTGATTTGCTATTTAATTAAAAAATCATAAGTAATCGCATAAGGCTTTCACTCAACTAGAACTTATTTAATAAAGATTTTTATCATTTTGCTGGTACAATTCTTTTTCCTGATATGTATGTAGAAAATATTTTTATCACAAAGTGTTTTAGTATATGTTATAGGCAGTTTTTCCAAAATATTTTATGTTTGGGTTTCCTTTGTATAAAAAAAAAATAGTTCCAGACTAAATTAACTGGTTACTGATTCAAAGGCTAGTACAGTATAAGCACAACTAATTCCATTATTATCTGGGAGAGTAGAGCCAGAGCATAAAGCGAGAAAGAACAAAAATTAACAGGGTATAAGGCAATTAGCAGAGAAGCACCAGAGGATCATGGGTACAATTCCCAGTCAAGGGCACATACCTGGGTTGCAGATTCTACCTCCTCAATCTTTCTCTGTCTCCCTCCTCCCTTCCACTCTCTCTAAAATTCAATGGAGCCTGGCCGGAGTGGCTTAGTGGTTGAGCATCAATCTATGAACCAAGAGGTCATGGTTTAATTTCCAGTCAGGGCACATATCTGGATTGTGGGCTTGATCCCCATTGTGGGGCGTGCAGGAAGCAGCTAATCAATTGTTCTCTCTCATCATTGATGTTCCTATCTCTCCTTCTCCCTTCCTCTCTGAAATCAATAAAAAATATTAAATTAAAATAATGGAAAAATAATCTTTGGATGAGGAATAACCAAAAAATAAAACTCAAAAACCTAACTACCAGCAAAAATAAAGGCCAGATCTGACAGGAGAGGAACCCCAAATGCACATAAAATGAAGAGAAACACACTTCTGGAATCAAACACTGATCAGAAATACTAAAAGGGGAATGCTATTCCCATTAACTGTGTCTTTCATCTAAAGCAAGCTCTCAACAAAAAAGTACAAACTAATACATTATCTATGAGCTGATTTCAGATAGGAAAATCCCCTGGAGCCAGTGTGAAAAGCAAAAAGCCTCCGATTCCCATAGGAATTATATAAAATAAAGCATAAAGAAATTAAACCACACCTCAGCCATATTAGAACATTATAAAAACAACACGGTGCCTTTTATGCAATGCAGCAGTAAGCTTCCATTTAACAGACATTATTATTCTGCCCCTATATAATGATATCTTTCTGGAGTTAAATGAATCATTGATTCTATTTCAAATTTGTACAAAAACAAAATAGAATATTAAAGGAGAACTAAAGTATTTACTAACCAACAAAACAATTTTAAACTCTAGATCATAGTATTTTATTCTTAAGAAAAAGTGACCTTCCTTTTATTGATGCTATGCATAATCTCATGATAAATATGTATTAACTATGCGATTAAGATAAGGTCACAACTGTTCTTCAAATCAGCAGTGAATGAGATAGGATCATTACACTGGACCTGACCAGAAAGCTAAGTCTAGAAGGTTTGAAATGCAAAAATGACAGGAAAATAATGAGTGTTCTCAGTGAAAGGTCTTTTGGTCAAAGTGCAGAACAAGACCAACTTTGTTATTTGGTTATTTATTTACATGGTGTAAGCAGGTTAGAGCTTTCTGGCTCCAGTACAACTAGAGAGCAAATGAACAGGAAAACAGGTAAAACAAGATGAAGTTGCTCTAGTTGCTTAGGAAGAGGGTATATTTGGGTCTTAGGATCAGAAATTCGAACTTTAGAAGATTTCACAATTTCAAAGCTGTCTGGATTCTCTAAATACTGTATACTGAAGTACTTTGTTTTTCGTGGTAATTAAAAAAGCTGCTTTTAATATGTCAGGCTAACTCAGCAGCACTGAGCAGAAAAGGGCTATGCATTTGATCCACAGGTAACAAAGAGTTAAATATTTCCCTAAAAATATTAAGTAAAATCACCTCAATTTGCACTTGAGATTCATTTAAAGGGAATATTGATACAGTTGGGGCTAAAAAGTAGGTTTTCATTATACACAGTTTAAATAACTTTTAAAGACTCACCTGTAGGCTTAACTGAATAAAACCCAACGGCCTCTCCTTTCTTCCACAGAATCTTAGCATAATCAGTACTGCTATGACACAGGAATGGGATCTCATTTCTCTCCATTTCCTGTTTTCTATAAATAATTCGATTCAGAACATATAGAACCACTCTCTCCCCAAGAGTTCTCACCTACAAAGAAAGTCAAACACCAGGCACAATAGTTATAATATGCATCAATTACCTTGCTCCCTGCTTCCTACCAGCATTCGAAGCACTTTGAATGCATTCAAAATGATCTGTAAAACATTTTATTATCATAAAGGCAAGGCTAATCATTCCTACCAATAACAATCCATTTCTACACACACATATTATGCATGAATACTGCCTCTCAGCAAAATTCTGAAACTGGCGAAACGAGTTTCCAGTGCAGCAGCCCCCAGCATCTCCTACTTAGCAGTGTTTCCTTTCTGCTTCCCGCTGCCCATACCAGGGGTCTCGGCCACCCTAATTGCTGCCTCCACCACTTCTACTGCTTCAACCGTTTTCACCCCATTTCAGCTTCCACATTAAAATAATAATAATAAGCCGAAACCAGTTTGGCTCAGTGGATAGAGCGTCTACCTGCGGACTGAGGAGTCCCAGGTTTGATTCCGGAAAAGGACATGTACCTCGGTTGCGGGCACATCCCCAGTGGGAGGTGTGCAAGAGGCAGCTGATCGATGTTTCTCTCTCATCGATGTTTTTAACTCTCTATCCCTCTCTCTTCCTCTCTGTAAAAATCAATAAAATGTGTTTAAAATAATAATAATAATAATAATAATAATAATAATAATAATAATGAGAAGTAGGGGGAGGCTTCATGTTATCTCCTGAAGATTTTAAGACCAATTACCTCATTTGATGAGCAAAGACATAATAATGCTCCTGGGAAAGGAATTTGTCTCATCCTTTCCAGGTAAAATGTTAATTTAACAGTTGTGTTTTTGTTGTCTAACTATAAGGAATACCCCCTGCCCTTTTGGTCACACACACACATATACCGACCAGATGAGGGATGACAGTGGCACCAGGAAGGTCTAGTGAAAACATATTTGGGGTAATCATAGAATGGAAACTGAGCCTCGTTTCTTACAGGCAGGGCTACATGGTCACCAGGTCCCCCTTTACCAACTTCCAGGCATCGGACAGTGGGGTTTTCCCAACAGACATCTTTCATTGCTAAAAACAAGAATTCTATCCACAAAGACTCCTTAAAGAAAAACAAGAGTGCCTTCTAATTAGATAAGTGGAGAGAGAAAACACTGCCTTACAATCTACTCACAAAAACATCCCTAGTGGGAGATTTCCAATACCAAACATACAAAATGACAAAGCTTGTTAGCTTGCAAAGTATGGAACCTTTTTTCTGCCACAGGCCATTTGGATATTTACAACATCATTTGAGGACCATACAAAATTACCAACTTAAAAATTAGCCAGCTAGCCGAAACCAGTTTGGCTCAGTGGATAGAGCATTGGTCTGCGGACTGAAAGGTCCCAGGTTGGTTTGATTCTGGTCAAAGGCATGTACATTAGTTGCGAGCACATCCCGGATGGGGGTTGTGCAAGAGGCAGCTAGTCGATGTTTCTCTCTCATCGATGTTTCTAGCTCTGTTTCCTCTCCCTTCCTCTCTGAAAAAAATCAATAAAATATATTTTTTTTAAAAATTAGCCTGCTATAGTTGGTCAAACATTTAATCACTTCTAATGCGTTGGCAGAGCCAGACCACATGATTTCACGTGCCTTTAAGGCAATCTTTAATTCCCTGGAACAGCTCTGATCAGCATAAAATTATTCCTTACACTGAGATAAAATTTATTTCCCAAAGATATTCTGGATCCACAGAGCCTACAAATATCTGAAAGCATCCATAAGATCCCCCTACATTCCATACCAATTCTAAACAACTGAAGGAAAAGTAATGCAACTTTGGGTGCTTTTGCCTTTCCTGTCCTCTTCCTTGAAATTGCTCCAGATCACCTTATATCTGTCTTCACGAAGGGCATGCAGATATTACAGGTATAAACATTAAAGATATTGCTAAAAGAGTGGGGCTTTTCTGCATAAACTTGAGGTTTTTAAATTGGCTTTTTTGCCTACCTTCCTTTTTTTCTAATGAACACCCACTCTTTCTCCTGTGTGCTGCTCTCCCAGTTTAGTCCTCACGGTAGTTCATTTTTTGAACCTACGGGTACTACTCTACATTTATCCCTATTTACCTTCATCATGTAAGATCTTCCCTTTTTTTCTTAATTCTGCCTTTCAGATTGGGTCTCCCATTCAGCACTGTGGCATGCAGAATGGACATGCACGCCATCTGTGTCTTCCTCTAAGTATTTTATGAAACTTAGTGATAAGGATGGAAAAAAAACAAGTTTAGCAGTATTCTACTGAGAACTTCCCCAAACGGCCATATTGATAAGCAAGTTTCCTTCCTGGTCAGTGTCTCCTAGAGACAGAAAACCTAAGCAATCACACACAGAGAAGAACTGGTTTTTTTCTCTACCGAACAAGGAAATCAGAAAGGAAATCAGAAGCTGAAGCTGATGTGAGTCACTACAGTTCAATTAACCCATAAGCATTCATTCTTCCTCCCCCAATTCTCACATACCTTTAGCACAATGAAACTCTAAGGGCTTAATAAAACCTGGTTACAATAAAATGGAGAAGAGCTCAATAACTTCAAAAACTATCACTGTTTATAGGAATCATCACTGTGAAATGGCCTAAGTAAGAAACTTGTAAAATTACAAGATCGCATTACCTGCTTAAGCCCCTCTCTAGAAGGGACAGATGTTTTCACGATATCATCAATAGCCCACCACTGATCAGCCAGGTAAAGTGCCACAGCTAAAACAGAATAAATGATCAACATTTAAGTCTTAAGTCTTAAAGTGTATAACATTACTATTTGGTAAGGTTATATAGATACCCTTAAGTACACTCATTCTTTTAAAATACAATGTGGCCCCATTTATAGTATTTTTATTTCACTCATTAAACATTTAATAGTAAGCAATTAAGAATTATATTTTCCTAAATTTAAGTTTGAAACACATTTGTTTGTTTGTTTTTCCTTCATGCAACTACCTTTCAATAAATTTCTAATTGTTTGGAGGAAACTCCTCAATTTTAAAGATTAAGCAAAAAAGAGACCTGTGAGTGAGTCCTCAGGTGAAAAAAGAGCAAGAATTTTCTGGGTTGGATCTCCACCATAAAGAGGTACAAAGCCTACATTTGACAGGCTAATAGGAATCTGAAATGACAATTGATTAAACATTAGTGAAGAGTCTGTGAAGAAAATATAGGACAAAAACACCATAATTCTATCAAAATATTAACTTTTCCTATATTAATGCTAATTATATACCTTCATTTCATAGACAATATTTCTAGTTGTCTCAAAAAAAAATAGCTCCTAGCGGGTTTGGCTCAGTGGATAGAGCTTCAGCCTGAGACTGAAGGATCCCAGGTTTGAATCCAGTCAAGGGCACATGACTAGGTTGTGGGCTCAATCCCCAGTAGGGAGCGAGCAGGAGGCAGCCAATCAATGATTCGCTCTCATCATTGATGTTTCTCTCTTTCCTTCTCCCTTCTTCCCTGAAACAATAAAAATACATTTTAAATAATAAAAAAGTAAATCAGAATTCCATTTTGTAGGAAGTTTATTACCTTGAGGGGTGGGGGTGGGATGGGGGGGAATAGAAGTTTATTTCAATAAATATTTTTGTGTTCTAGCCAAAAGTCTAAATAAAAACAAAAGAAAGCTATGGTCCATAAAGTCACTAAAAAACAACTATAGTTTACATCTGTTATTTAGACTATTGGAGGGGATGGGATTCTATTTTCTAGGAAAAGACACCAGATAGGTAATTTTACAGAGAAACATACAGTACTTTAAATTTTTTCTGCCTTCATTAATACAATGCTAATTCCTCACTTACAGAAAATATTACAATTCAGAAAATTATAAAATATTGTACTAGAGGAGACTTAAAGAATCCTTTAAATCAACATAATTTTCCAGAAGAAAAATCTCAGGCCTAGATATTAGAGAATTTGCCTGCCATCAGTTCACAGTGGAATTCTAACAACAGATCACAGCTTACTAATTTCTAAGTTTTATTTTAATATTTTAGAAAAGGGGAGGTTTGTTACACAAAAATGTGTAATTTACTGGTTTGCTGATATTTTTATTTTTAAAAATTCTTATATCACAAACTCTAAATCTAAAGAAAATTTGAGTTAGCTCAAATATGGAAGCCAGTCTTAGCAAAACTGGTAAACTACTTAATTTTAATAATACAAATAGTAAGCAATAACCTATAAAGTTTCTTTTTAAAACCTGATCATGTTACTGTACTAACCAATTAATATTTATGCATTTTACTGATGTCTTCTCATACAAATTTCAGAAGTTTAGTTAGCACTTTAAAATTATAAAAAATAAAGGGATATTAATTCCATGTATGAATTCAACTGACAACTCATAAAAACCACTGCAGAACACCTTACCGTTACATCGAGAAGAGAAAAGGACTCAGGACTGTCAGGGTCCCCACACCTTAGATCCGACATATAATCTTCAGCAGAATTTTCCAGTTCCTCGTGACTGCAACTATCCAGCAAGTCCACAGGGAACGCCATTCTCTTTAATAAACAACATGGGACAAAAATGTTTCAGAATACAAAATGCTAGCTTCCTTTTCACATAGAAAAACTCTATATTACAATATCTATACAAATAAAAGGGTAATATGCAAATTGGTCAGGACGCCCTCACAGGAAAGACGGAGCAGCAGGCTGCGTGGGGCAACCAGTCCAGCAGAGGGGGTGTTGGGGCGGCCAGGCCAGCAGGGGAGGCCGTGAGGGACAACCAGGCTGGCAGGGGTGGGGGGCAGTTGGGAGCAACCATGCCGGAAGGGGAGGGCAATTGGAGGCGTTCGGGCCAGCAGAGGAGGGCAGTTGGGGGCAATCAGGCCAGCAGGGGAGCAGTTAGGCATCAATCAGTCTGGCAGGGGAGTGGTTAGGGGGTGATCGGGCTGGCTGGCAGGCAGGCGAGCGATTGGGAGCCAGCAGTCCCGGATTGTGGGAGGGATGTCTGACTGCCGGTTTAGGCCCGATCCCAAGGGGTCCCAGATTGAAGAGGGTGCAGGCTGGTCTGAGGGACACCCCTCCTCAGTGCACAAATTTTGTGAACTGGACCTGTAGTTTTATTATAAAGAGTTCTTCACTATACCATGTCAGACTACCACTTGGCCTGTTGATTTAACCATGTACGTCAAAAGAAAATTTTTAAACATTATTCATTTGAATTAAAAATAAAATAGGAATTAATGGTAATTCTTTAAATGATATAAATATAATTATACAGGTGTAGGATATACTTATGTGCACATAAGTAAGTACACATACATAAATATATCCTCATATACTTGCCAACATTATAAGTCACTATAAAAGGACAAAAGGGAACTTTTTGGAATCGAAATGTTCTATAACTGCATCGTAGTGATGGTTGCTCCATCACTACATTTAGTAAATGTAAATTTACTAATATAAATTTAGTAATATAAATTTACTAAAAAAATAAAGAAGATCATTGAATTGTACAATTGCAATGGGTAAATGTTGCAATATGTAAATTATTCCTCTCATACATAAACCTGTTAAAAAAAAAAAAAAGCCAGCACTTTAGAGGGAATACACTAAACGCTTTCCCACTAAAGTCAGGAAAAATGACTTGACACACTGTATAACATTATATAGGTACCTGCCAATGCAATTAGCCTAGAGGTATAACAACTGGGTATGGGTGTATGTGGAAGGAACTATCTCTACCTCAATTACATAATATATTTAATTGGAAAGAATCAATGGAAAAACTATTCCAAACAATAAAAAAATATACTAAAACAGGATATAGTTACACACAGAAATTAAGCCCTCATATACACAATAATAACCAGTGAAAAGAAATCAGGAATGTAAAAAATGAAGTAAAAATAGGTAAGAAGACCCCATTTACAGTGGATAGAGCATCGGCCGACCAAAGGGTCCAAGGTTCAATGGTCAAGGGCATGTACCTCCTCTGCAGGCTCCTGCCCGGCCGACCTTGGTCAGGGTTCATACAGGAGGCAACCAATCAATGTGTTTCTCTCACATCAATGTTTCCCTGTCTTTCCCTCCATCTTCCACTCTCTAAAAGTCAATGGAAAAATGGCCTTGGGTAAAGATTAAAAAAAAGCAAGCAGACATATGCATCTTGATGTGATGCAAAAAGAGAAATCAAACCCAAATCTACCGTAATGAAGCCATCAAACACGTGAAATGATATCAAGTCACTTCAGCCAGTCAAATTTAGAATAATCCAGTTTTTTCAATAAGTAATCAGTATGGAGTTGAAAGAGTGGGAACTATTGTAAATTAAAAGACATTTAAGACCCTACCTGTTTGGCTCAGTGGATAGAGCATTGGCCTGTGGACTGAAAGGTCCCAGGTTTGATTCCGGTCAAGGGCATGTACCTTGGTTGCAGGCACATCCCCAGTGGGAGGTGTGCAGGAGGCAGCTCAATGTTTCTTTCTCATCAATGTTTCTGACTCTCTATCCCTCTCCCTTCCTCTCTGTAAAAAAATCAATAAAATACATATATTTTTTTTTTAAAAGACATTTAAGAGACATAGCAATCAGATGCATTGTAAAAAGAATTCTGATATGTGTTCTCTTGAAAACTCCCATGATAAAAAGTTAAATAAAAAATAAATATATGCTCTAAATCAAAGTTGATCTACTTAGTTCTTAAAGGAGATATAAACTAAAGTAGATGATCTTGTTATAAAAATTCCCTATTTCATATTTACCCAAAATAAAAACTGCAGAGCCCAACTGCTATATTTGTCAATAATCTCTTCAATCTTGATTTAAAAAATATTAAAGGGGAAAGACAGAAGAAAACTCTGAGAAAATAAAAATTATTTTTATCTGAAATAATTCTTTAGAGAAGCATTTTATCACATCAAATCTATTTTATCACAAATATATTAGTAAATAAAAAATGAAAATATGAGAAAACATGTAAAAGACAGGACATATAATGACAGCTACATATAGTTATATATATATATATATATTTTTTTTTTTTTTTTAAATCCTCACACAAGGATATGTTTTTACTGATTTTTAGTGAGCAAGGAAGAGATTTGGGAGTGGGGGAGAGAAACATTGATGTGTGAGACAAACATTGATCAATTGCTTCCTGTACATGACCAGACCAAGGATGGAATCCACAACTTTTTGGTATGCAGGACAATGCTCCTAATAACCGAACTACCTGGCTAGGGTTAAATATGTTTTTCTGAGTTTTTAAGATATGATGATAATGAGAAACTTATTTTTACCATAATCTGAAATCCTGGTCCTAAGGACTTTAAAATGTGGTGTATCATTGGGAATCTAATTTTATACAAATATATTTTCAATCAAATTGACTTTAAATTTTTTAAAAATAAAAACCTGGAAATAAGAGCACACAAAAACAGCCCACCTGTTAGTAAATATAAATGTCTAAATAAAAGGAGAAAGCAAGAAAAATTTGTGAAACATTTATAAATACCATAGGATTTCCAGGTAACTCATAAAAAGAAAAAGAAAAAAACTATGAATTTCAAGAGAGATTAACCAGGAGCTTATGTAAATCAGATGTTATAGTTAGCAAAGTATCAAAATGAAACAGCGAGCTCTATTACGAAGTAAGCTTATTTGTCAATTCAAAAGCAAACTAAGGAAATAGAACATTATGTTATGTTCTAGTCAGATTCAATAATTCTAATGAAGATTAAAATTTTAGATGAAAACAAAAACAAATGGTCAACAGTAGATGAAAAAAGCATTAGGACACTAGTTAACTATTTTCCTCTCTTTTAGACAAGATCCCAGCTTTGTGTCTAAGTAAAATATTAAGAGCATTAAATATACCCTACTATTGACCAGATGAAGCTCAAGAAGGATTAATGTCACAATCTTCTTAAACCATCTCGAAATGCTCTCTTAAATATGAGGTATGAATGAAACACATTTTAACATTTCATTTGCTAAGAGTAATCATGACCTAAAGCAAAAGTGGGGAACCTTTATTCTGCCAAGGGCCATTCCTGGACCATACAAAATTATCAACTTAAAAATTAGCCTGCTATCTTTGGTCAAACATTTAATTATCTCACCCCTCATGCCTTGGCAGAGCCAGACCAAATGATTTTAAGGGCCATATACTGATGACATGAAGGATGAAATACAAATTAACATATGAGGACTGCTGCCAAAAATTTGGTATACAAAAGCACTGTTGATTACAATCACATAAAGATAATATGGCATTCTAAACGAAGAATACAAAATGGACATATAAAGAAAAGGAGTCTGATAGAATAGCAAACTGATGGGTCATTTTCTTTCCAACTACTGTTACTACAACCTCGTTCTTAAAAGATTTTAAATACCATCACGTTTAAATAGCATTTTTTTAATCTTATTTATTTTTTAGTTTTAGTTTTATTCATATTGAATAAAGAGCCTAGCATTATAGCCCAGAATAAGAGAATGGTTGTAAATAGCTAGAGGTATCATGGTTCCTTATCTAACATGCTTTAACTATGTCTGACCGGTCCTGCTAGTTTGCAACAATTCGAGACTGGAACAAAGGCCAGATGTCCCCAAGCCATTGATCCTTCATCTATCCTAGTGTTGGCTGAACTTTAATTATCCGCATACCACCATCAAAATGTTTCCAGTGTGTCAAGTGTCTATATCATTATTTAATATGTATGTTCCTCAACTCATTTATTTTATTTTATTTTATTTTATTTTTTTACAGAGAGGTGGGGAGAGGAATAGAGAATTAGAAACATCAATGAGAGAGAAACATCGATCAGCTGCCTCCTGCACACCTCCCACTGGGGATGTGCCCACAACCAAGGCACATGCCCTTGACCAGAATCGAACCTGGGACCCTTCAGTCTGCAGGACACCGCCATATCCACTGATCCACACCTGTCAGGGCAACTCATTTTTTTTTAAACACACACCTCTCACCCCATCCCCCTTTTTAATTTGGTTAAATCCTATATAATAAAAGGCTAATAAGCAAATTGACCAAATGACGGAATGACCGGTCACCTATGATGCGCACTGACCACCAGGGGGCAGACACTCAACACAGGAGCTGCCTCTGGTGGTCAGTGCGCTCCCTCAGGGGGAGCATCACTCAGCCAGAAGCTGAGCTCGTGGTGGTGGCAGGAGCCTCTCCCACCTCCATAGCAGCACCAAGGATGTCCTGCTGACTGCGAGAGGGTACAGGCCTGGTATTTCCCCTCCCCCCCGCCGAGTGGACAAATTTCCTGCACCAGCCCCCTAGTAAACACATAACATTTACCATTTTAACCCTTTCTAAATTTATAGCTCAGTGACAGTAAGAATATTCACATTGTTGTACAACCTTCACCACTCTCCCTTTCCAGAACTATGTGCCCATTAAATAATTCTCCGTCCCTATTCCCCCTAGTCCCTGATAACCACCATTCTTTCTGTCTCTATGGATTTGCCTATTCTAGGAATCTCATTAAGTGTTATCACAATAATTGTCTTTTTTACT